GCTGGTAGCCATGTGGAAATCAGGAGCTTCTCCCCACTCAGGGGGTTAGGCCACCTGTGTCTGGGAGGGCAGTCTTCTCCTTTCTTAATGATAAGGTTGAAAACACATTTACTTTGGAGAAGCATCTCTGACCTTCCTCTCTGACCTTCACTGAAGATTCTGAATACATGGGCGGCTTTCCAGAACCCCCTTACTTTGCAGTATTTATAATGAACCAGGAAAGTGATTAGAAGTGATCCTGGCAAATTGAGAATTTGTGAAGTAGAAAAGGAGACCCTATTACAGTGGTTGTTAAAAATAGAAAAGTAAAAGGAGCATTTTTGAGGAAATCGGTTTAATAGAATTGTGGTTTCTAATAGATGTTTGTGAGAGGTCTTCGTGCCCTGGGTTGTATTGACCAGCTGACTTCTGTATTTCTTCTCCTCTTGGTAACCTGTTGAATGATTTCACAATGCTAATCCTGGCAACAACTGTGTCCCCCCCCCCCCCCCTTTTTTTTTTAATAGCCACCAGAGTATCAGCATCCGGAGGACAAATCATTTCATGGTGTCAGAGTCAGAAATAGACTTTGAGTTCTGAGCCACAAGGGCAGGCTGCGCCAGGCTGTTCTTCCTTCTCCCTCTCAGGAACCCCGTGGTCCCACGCCACAGGGTGCAGGCCAGGAGGAATGTCAGTCAGGGAAGGCTCAGAACCGCTGAGTGGGCTGCTTGATTCCCTGTGGAAAGTAAATGATATGCACCTCAAAATCACAGATCACTTTACAGCCCCCAGCGTTTTGACCTGATGGATGGTGCAGTTTTGTGATTGTCAGGTTCTTCAGGCTGTCTTTCCCTGGCCTTTGTGCTACTGACCCCAGTTCATCTCATTCAGAAAAGATGAAATGTGATCAGAATATTATATGTAATTATTATTAAAGAAAAACCTGGCTAAAGAAGAAGAAAGGACACTTTTAGACATGTTGCCAAAATTTTTACTTAGAGAACATGGAATGGTGACGATTATTCAGAATCATTCCAGGGTTAGAGCCTTCCTGCAGACAGAAGTAGGTGAACCAGAACTTTCGGAGGACCATGGTCAACCTTAGAGCTGATCTTTTGTCTCTGTACCCAGGTAATCTCTTTCAGGTGAAATTGTGCACATGTGTGATCAGAAAGGAATAATACAAATCATCACAAGTGTAACACATTTTTCTTAAATATCTTTTGCACCTTTTCCCTGTGGAATAGGTGGGATGCCAATGGTTTAATTAACATAAAAAGAGACCCAGTGTGAGTGCACAGAAGCTGAACTACAGGCTGATCCCAGCTGGCTCAGTAAGGACACAGTGTTCTTTTTACTTTAAGCACATGTGCTGATTGTCCTGTTAAATAGTTTCACTTTGAGAAAGCAGTGGTCTCCTAGTGTCCATGGATTAAGGACTTTGCTTGTAAGTCCTTCGTGGAAGATGGAATGGCCTCTCCTGCCATTGACTGGGGCTGGCAGTTCTTGCTAGTGAATATTTTGGGAAATGCCTTCAGCTGATGTCCTTCTCAATCACTACATATGTGGGGGTGTGGGGTTTGAGGAACATTTTCTGGGATTCTAGAGCACAGTAAGGAATACAACAGAGGCAGAGGCTGCTGATGGTCTGGGCTTCCTTCTGTCTTCTCAAATGAGAGCGAACTATTAAAATCACCATAGCATAGTCTTGACCTTGGCTCCACTTTTCTCCCTGTGCCTGGAGGGCTGCTGTCTGCATTTAGGCAAGGCTGTATAGGCTGTGGAGGCCGGTGACTCAGGGTTGTGATTTCTTATGTTTAGGAAGGAGATCCTTCTGTCTGCTCCAGTTGTCTGACGGGCATACACAGTGAGACAGTGTCTGCCACTGCACTTCTTTGCTCTCTGTGACTTGAAGACTCTTTCCTCAGCTTTGTCTTAGTTTCTTGGGAGGGACTAGAAACACCTGTCTTTCCTTGCTGGGGATAGATGGTTCCCCTTCTTGGTCCTTTTTGTGTGTTTCTGAAACATTCTTATGCTTACACTTTTGAGTTGCTAATGGCATTTGCATTTCTCAGTAGGTGCAGAGGAAGGGGGACTAGAGAAGCCGAGGAAGGTCTGAGTTGGAAAGCAAGGGAGGATGTTGGAAGGTCTCCCATGCACCTGGGCAGCTTCTGGGTTGGACTCTGGGCTGGGGAGACATTGGCCTCTTTCCTCGTCCATAGAGCACCAATTCCCTTAAGAAAATGGCAGTGTGGTTTGAATCACGGAGACTGCCCCCCAATTCTGTGGACCCATGTTCGTTCTCATTTGCATTTTCATGGAATTAAAGATGCTATTCAAACAGCAAGTAAGTCCCCAAAGAAGCTTTCAGGTGATGTGTGGTCTTGTTGCCACTGTTGTTTCTGTCTCCTCCAAGTCCAAAGGCTTTTCACTGAACCTTCAGGTGGGGAAATGTATAGCAACAGCCCCTCTAGGCCAAGGTAATTAAAACTGTAAATAGGATATGAAAATTAAACCTTCTAGTAAACTTAGGATTCCTTTTCAGAGTGCACAGGCCTCTTTGCAAGCAGTTATCTCAGAGCAGCTAGAGTCCTTATCCTGTGTATAAGTTGGTTAGTCACCACCTTTGTGGGCATTCAGGAGAAGTTGTTAAGGTGGGGAACTTCATTATGCTTAATTAAATCAAGTGACCTTTTAGACTGAATTTATTCTCTGGATTTGTACAACTGAATAATTACCCATGACGAATTTCCTTCATTGTCGCTACCTATAAAAGGTAGTGGCAGACAGACTTCCACAAAATTCTGTTGTGCAGGTCAAGAAACCGGTGTTGATTTTGTGAGCAGTGCTGGGGTTGTGGCCAGAAGAGCCTCTGATATGATTATTTCAAAGAGACTTAAATAAAGTATGGTGATTTTCACCAGCAATCTTAGCTGCTTTTAAAGTAGAATCTAAGTAAAAGCAACTGTGCATGTTCATTCATTGTATTTTATTTCTGCTAATAACTTCCTTTTTATTACAACCTGCTATCCTCTTGCCTTTCCCATAAGACCAGGTATATAATCAGTCTCGATATTGTTAATTCATAAAACAAACAAAAAACACCCAGTAAGTAGTTTTGCTTATGGAAAACAGAGCCTGTTTTTCCACTGTAAGAACTCGGTGATCTGGAAATAATGCAGGTGTCCATCCATAGGGAGCCTGTTACATGAAATGTGTTAACAGTAGTGTGGGATACGAGGCAGCTGCAGATATGAGCCATCTGTACTGATAATGGAACAGTCTCCACACCATACTTTTAAGTGGATAAAAACAAGATGCAATACTATATTTGAAGGGACTCAAAATGTGTATGTGCACAGATAGCATAGGAAGGCTATAGAAGCAATGGGTGCCCTTTGCTCTCTCTGGGGCACTAGGTTGCTGGGGAACAAGGGTGAGAGGAAGGATTTTCACTTTTAATACCCTTCTGTTCCACTTGAGATTTGAACCAATAAAATGTTTTATCTATGCAGAAAGTAAATGCATAAAATTAGTATTTAAACAAATAAGTGGTGGAGGCTTACAGTAATCTTATCTTCAGAAAATAGCCTTTGCTCTCTAGAACAGTGCTGTCCAGTAGAATTTTCTGTGATGGTGGGAATATTCTATAGCTAAACTACCCCACAAGCGACCCTTGAAGGCTTGAAAGATGGCTTGTGCAACATGGGGCTACATTTTTAATTTAATTTCATTTTAATTAATTAAAATTTGCATAGCCACTTGTGAGCGCCTGCCACATTGATTGGGGGTGAATCTGGAGCATCTCCCTTGCTTAGACCCAATTAAAGCTCTGATGTGTCTCAGGAAACTCACTCCATTAGGCTCTCAGGGCAAAGTTTATTACTATAAACTCAAGAAAATGCCTACATTTTCTTTTTGCCCTTGAATTGAACATTACCACATATTTCTTGAAATGAATGACTATTAGATTTGAAAACCTCTTTATTACCTAGGAAAGTCATTTTTGTGAACACTTTTGACTTTTTCCTTATCTTACTTGGAAGCAGCCTGTTTTTTAAGAGGTTGATTTTTCTCTTCTTGAGCAGAGAACCCTATTTATTTTCCCTCCCTTCTTCCCCCAAGCTTAGTGTGCCAGGCACTTTGTTCCTGTGCCTAGCAGCTGTCAGGAGACAAGGGGACAGTTTGCATTCTTAGCCAGCAGCTGCTAGAAGCATTCCTAATCTGGTTTTGGCAGGAAATAGTACACAAGTTGAAGCCAAGTTAAAAGAAACTGAAAAATAAACAGAATGACTTTGGATGCCCCCAATATATAGTCCATTTTCTGCTGCAGATTACCCTGGTAATTGTTAACATGACTGGACTGGAAGCCCTTCTCGGGCAGGGCTCTTCTAGTCATGTTTGAAGTCTGGGATCTAGCTCAGGCCTGGGATATGCTCCTAGAAGGAGTACTGTTACTTTTTAAATGATAAGCTGTACTACAAATTCATTTAATTGAGTTAAGAGCTTTAAACTATTGTTTATCCAAGATAAACTGTTTGTTCATAATTAGTGACTATGGTTATCTCCTCCCCTCTCCTTTCTGTCTCACAATGTTGCCTACCGTCTGCTCTAAAGAAAAACATTTGAACATTACTTCAATATTATTTATGCATCTATTCTGCAAGCAAGCTTATTTTTGCTGTATACAAGGAATAAAGCACATCCCAATTTAGTCCCTTTCTTACAAAGAAAGAGATTTTTCAAGGTGAAGGTGTAGGTATAAACAGGGGCCTTTTTGACCTGAGGCAGAAAATCCTCAAGTTGGAATAGCAAATAAATGAGTTGTTGTCCATAAGGAAGAAATTTTACTAAAATCTTACTCTTGGGTTTCTAGTTCTTTTCAATAAATTCTTTGTTTTGTGAAAGGCCTGGACCCTGCAGACTCTTGGGCCCTCTGAGGTGTGGCGGATGTGGAAAGTCATCCACAAGAAGGGGTCTGCTGGTGGCCTGTGCTCAGCTGTGTCTGATTTTCGTTGCAGACCTTCACAGCCTGGTGCAACTCCCACCTGCGGAAAGCCGGCACTCAGATTGAAAATATCGAGGAGGACTTCAGGAATGGCCTCAAGCTCATGCTGCTTTTGGAAGTCATCTCAGGTTGGTGTACACACCCCAGTCCTATACTTTAATGTGCAGTCACTAGGTAAGCATCTCTTTTAAAAGATGATCACAGCAGAAGTTTCCTTTGAACTTGGCTGGCCAAGAACATGGTATTCTGGCAAAGGAACCTTTCCAAAGAGCAATCTGCCTGAAGTAATTTTTTGTTGTTGTTGTTCAAAAAAAGGAGAGAATTCTGTTTAAAATGGACTGATTAAAATAATGTTTATGCAATCCTCCTTGAAATAAAGTAAGAGAAGAAAAATGACATTTATGTGACTGCCCTCTCCCTTCTAGTCCAGCTAGCATGCATTCCAGAAGTCATGTCCTAGCCAGAACACCCATATGTATGTTAGCATGGCTCTGAACGTGTGGGTTGAGATCCCGTGCATCTGGTTGCCTAGTTTCACTTGGCTGGTCTAGACTTGGACTAGATGGAGCACCCTTGGAGTGGTGTGACTGGGAAGGAGGATGGCAAGTCTGCCCTGGTCTATATATCTTCATAACCAGGTGTCTAAGGCGAGTCCTGGCAGCCACCTCTGAGATTTGAACTAGGCCACCCAACTTCGTCTAACAGCTAGCCAGCAACTGCGAATGCTCTAGGGACACGAATCGGCCTCTCTCTTTACACATGTGAAGGTTGGCTTATAGGCCAAACAAGACTCTTCCAGCAGATCCTTAATACTATACGACTCCCTGCTGGTCTACTTAGCTTTGGGCCAGCGTTTCCTCTACCCTGTAATTTAGAGAAACTGGGAAAGTGTCACACACACTCAAGTGATCATTTCTGCTTAAGGAATGCCTGGACTCTGCATTTTGGCATCTTGGGGTTTTTTGTTTGTTTTTTGAGATGGGGCCTCACTATGTTGCCCAGGCTGGTCTTAAGGCCCTGGGCTCAAATGATCCTCAGGGCTCTGAGTTTGGGCATCTTCATTCTGCACCAAGGGTAACTCTGGCCCCATTGTGCTCCCTTCATCCTACAGGGGAAAGGCTGCCCAAACCTGACCGGGGCAAAATGCGGTTCCACAAGATTGCGAACGTCAATAAGGCTTTGGATTACATAGCCAGCAAAGGGGTGAAACTGGTGTCCATCGGGGCTGAAGGTGAGAGGGCCTGGGCCCTTCCTGCCACTGACCTCAGTGTGAATTCTCTCTTCCCTCCCACAGTGTTAGAGTCAAATATAGCATCACATCTTCTTCAAACCCATTACAGGAGTGAGAAAGAATCTACACATCCCTATTACTCATAATGAGAACTAATTACTAGGAAGGACGTGGCCTCCTGGTTCTCATTGGGAGACTGGGAATCTACAGAGTCCAGCAGGAGCTAGGACTGGCGGCACCTCATTACACACAGCCTAGAAGAAGGATCTGGTGGAGATAAGGCTGTATTCCCTGAATTTGATGATTTTTAAACCTTAGTTTGTATAGTTGTAAAGCTTTGGAAACTCCTGAGGGTTTTTCATGATAACGTATGCAAGCTTTGTATTTATTATTAACACAGAATTCATTTAAACTGGAGACACTTGGTAATGAATACCACTTTTATGATCAGAAACACTGTGATGCTTATAAAGCATATGCTGGTTTTTCCATATGAATGTTTCCCTTTAGCTCTGAAGGATTGAGCTGTGTCCTGAATGGGTTCTCTTGTTGACTTTCTTCTCACCTGCAGAGATTGTTGACGGCAATGTGAAGATGACCCTGGGTATGATCTGGACCATCATCCTTCGCTTTGCCATTCAGGACATTTCAGTTGAAGGTAAACTGTGGCTAGAAAAAAAATGTGGCTAAAAGTCTAGACCTGTATGGTGGGAATCCAGGTTGCAGATTAAAATTCAAATAGGATACAGTGACATTCAATAGTCACATGGGTGAATGAAGGGCATGTATGTTGCATTTTCGTCAGTTTTATATTTGTGTGGGGAAAGACCCTGGCAGTACTGTTCTGCTCAGGGGGGTGGAATCATTTTGGAAAAAGATGAGCACATGTTCATTGCAGAATTTTTTTTAAATGAGCATTTGTTGATCTTTTTTTTACTATTCTAGTAAAATCACAATGATGGCAGAGTTCTGCTTGGTTTTTTTTTTTTGTGTGTGTGTGCTGGGGATTGACCCCAGTGTCTTGCACATACTAAGCTAGGGCTCTATCACTGGGCCACACTCCCAGTCCCTGGTGGCAGAGTTCTTCAAGCTTATACCTGTTAACACTATTTTTTTAGGTGAAAAAAAAATTACAGTTGTGTTTGTTATCTTCTTCTCTCCTTCCCTCTCTCACTTTACCCCTCCCCCTTTCTTTCTTTGAATAAAACCTATTGTCACTGTCTTTGGCCTAAGAGCCATTTATCGTTATAATATCATCTTAATCCTTGGTACTGCCACGGAAGGTTGAAATCTTTAGTATCTTACCCTCTCAAAGAACTTGATAAATTGATTATTGTTGAAAAATCAAGTGTCACACATATACACACACACATAAACCAAAAGTAATTGGAAAAGATTATTTGAAATGACTAATTTGTGCTATCTTTATGAAATATGTTAAATGTAGCTTTTTGAAAGAGAAGCCTTGAATTGAAATTTAACTAATACTTGAACATTTTTGTATATATTTCTTTGTATATAATTTTGTGCAGTACCAATGACAAAAATACGGTGTCATAATAAAACCAGGTTTGTTGATCTTTCAGTCATGGGCTCAAAGAATTTATTCATCTCTAATATGACCTTGGAAAATAATGAATGAAAATAGGAAAAAAAATGATTGTTGTTAATGCCGACTCTGGGTCTTAATCAAAAGGTTCTGGAAGCAGTAAGTTCGTTTTTCTAAAAATTATACCATTCCCTTGGAATATTTTCTTCCTAACATCCGTGCTTTTACTGCATTATTTGAAGTTGGGGGCTGGGGAGAAACAGTAATCAAAGCTTTCTGAATTGGGATGTTTTGAAATTCCAAGTATAGATTTTTAGAATGTCATTTTATAAATGGCAATTTGGGGAATTACTTGATTAAGAACTTTTGAAAATGGAAAGATTAGTATTATTTTTAAAGCTGCTTTGTTAGGTTTCTTGTGTTTTATTAACTGTCTTTTCTCAGTTTCCATTTCATTATTTCTTTTCTAGTTTTGGTGACTTAGTGATTTTTGTCATTTTTTTACATCAACTCATGGTCTTGTTTTTACATGGTAATTGCATGTATTTAGGACCTATCTAACAGGGCTTTAAATAAATTTGGTCATATTTATGTGTAAGCACATTTTACTGTAAATGTTTGGGTTTCTGAATTTACAACAGATGTTTATTTCAGTATGTAGTAAACAGTATCTTAAAGTGTCCTATTCACTACTTGTTAATTTAAAAAGTTATGATTAATATGAAAAAGAAAAATCAAGTGTCAAACTGAGATTCCTAAAATTAGCACTTAGCCTTTTTAGCCTTTAAACCACAACATATATGATGGCAGAGTGTGGTTGTACCCCCAGCTCTGTGATCTCACCGAGAACCAGGGGCCTGGTGGTGAGGGAGGCATTGTCTGCCATTCTGCCCAACCCAGACTTACAAAGACTTAAAAAACCTTAAGAACCAGCAGTTTCCCAGTGACCTGATGCCTGCAGTGCTTGTCCTTAAGGCAATTTTAATTCACTTAGATTATTTCTTTTTAGCACCAGAGACCCATTTATGTCATCTAAAATCAAACTAGGATATAATGACAATAAAACCTCAATTCAGGTTCAGGAATGACCACCAGCCAGGGTTGATAAATAGCCTGAATTTGAAAACTTCTACATGAGGTATTTTATCATAAAGTATATTCCTTCGCTGATGAAAACAAGACATTTCCTAAAAGTTTTTGCTTTATTAAAAAACATTATTTGGTGATAATTTTGTCAGGTATTATATACTTTTAAAATTTAAATGTTTAAACAGTTGAACCTACTCTAAAAACCAATTATTATTTTTAAACATCTTGTTCACACTGTTGGAATATCTGGGCTCGCAAATTCTTTTTTGTTTGTTTGTTTGTTTGATGGGAGAGGGTATGCATTCGACTGCTGAGCCTCATCCCCAGCCCTATTTTGTATTTTATTTAGAGATGGGGTTCACTGAGTTGCTTAGTACCTCGCATTGCTGAGGCTGGCTTTGAACTTGCCATCTTCCTGCCTCAGCCTCCCAAGCCACTGGGATTACAGCCATGTGCAACTGTGCCCAGCCGCAAATTCTTTTTCACCAAATATTTTAGGGTGAATTTAACCTCAGATTTTTTTCTGATTGATTACCAATTTTAAACTCATTATAATATGAATTTAAAACTTAATTTTATTTCAGGTGAATGGTATGTTCCACTAGAATTTTCCCAAAATAATTATTTACATGCCCCAAATAATATAGTCAAATCACAGGGGTTTTTTTGTGTCTTTGGCACCAGGGATTGAATCCAGGGACACTCAACCACTGAACCACATCCCCAGCTCTTTTTATTTTTTTATTTTGAGATGGGTCCTCACTTAAGTTGCTTAGGGCCTCACTAAATTGCTGAGGTGACTTTGAATTTGCAATACTTCTGCCTCAGCCCCCTGAGCTGCTGAGATTACAAATCAGTTTTTTATAAAATGCTAAAATAAAAGAATACAGTAATATGCTCTTCACAAGATTAAGAATTGAACATTAAAAAGTAGTCATTTCATGCTGGGTGCTGTGGTGCATGCCTATAATCCCAGCAGCTTGGGAGGCTGAGGCAGGAGGATCATGAGTTCAAAGCTAGCCCCTGAAACCTAGCAAGACCCTGTCTCAAAAAAAAAAAAAAAAATAGGGTGGGGATGTGGCTCAGTGGTCAAGTGCCCCTGGGTTCAATCTTGGTACCAATAAATAAATAAATAAATTAAAATAAAAATAAAAAGTAGTCATTTCATGAGCGGAGTACCTAAGTCCCTTCCAGGAGATGTTCTTCAGTATACAACACAGCGCGTAATATTGGTTTGCTAACATTTTATTTGTCTTAGTTTTATGAAGTAATTTTTAATTTCAGTAAGTCTGTGGAAAATCATCTTTGTTTTTAATGATATATTTTAGATAGAAAAAGATACTGTTATTAGAACTAAATTTTGGAGGGAGCCAGTTTTTTTCAACAGAATGATGGGTGGCCTCTTCCAAGAAAGTAAAGGAGAGGTAGGGGTCGGAAGATGCCAGCACTCGTCCACAGCAGAAGTGCCAGAGATTGCTGGGGATGCCTGGCAGGGCAAGGGACGCAGCAGGGGTGGCTGAGGAACTCCAGCCTCCTGGAGTTCTGGGCATGAAGGGCAGGGTGGAGGCGTGGTGAGGCACACGCTCGCTGTGTGGTCCTGAGGTTGGTGAGGCTGGGGCCTTCTCCACTCCCATCTCCCCCTCATCGTCACTTCCTGGAGCTGCTGTGGGGAAGTGGCTTGGGTGTCACAGTGGGCAAGCATGGCTCATGCAGGGAGTGCTGCTGGTGAACCAGTGGCCTGTCCTGTTGTGCCCTCAGGTGGTCATCAGCACATCATCATGGCTGCCATGGGTGCTGACAGGTTTTATAACTTAGTCAAAACTCAAGTGACCAAACTGGACATTTACCAGTAACACTCTGGATTATAAAATCACTGGGAGTAAATTTAAAACATAGTGGTCTCTGAGAATTCCCTTTACCTAAGAGCATGGATTATAAACGAGATGGATAGGTTAGTTGTTCTGTAAGTTTGTGGGAGTTGCGTTTCAGATTGCTTCATTTATTTATGCTTTTTGGAATTGTATGCATAAACATTCAGCCAATGCAGAGATTTAGGTGGCCCCATCAGACTCCCTTCCCCAAAGATTGTTCCCACATCTAGCTTTCCTGGTATTTAAAGGATGCAGTCACTTGAGAAGCAGGGGTTGGCCTGCGGCATCCTAGTCTCCACAACCTGCCTTTTCACATTGGACAGTCTCCAGTCCAGAGTAATTGACATCCCCGGTGTGCAAGGGACCACCAACCTGCTGGGTAGGGTCAAGGGGAAGGTCCCCTCTGTGTATTCAGTCGGAGGGAAGGCTAGCATCTTGCTGAGCGGAGCCTGCTCGTCATCTCACCTAGCAGGAACCCCACATATTTTTTCAATTATCTTAATTTAATTTTAAAGAGGGTAGGTTATCAGTCACCCTGAAGTCTGGCTTTGGTGTTTTTTTATGCTATAATCTTTGGTCACTCTTGCATTGTCCTTTTGAAGACTGTTACAAGTCTTCAGAAGCTTGTCCCTAGGATTGGGGTTCTAGCTTCATCTGCTAGCAGAGACTGGGAGAGGAACTGCTTTTGTTGGTGAATGGCCTCCTGGAAGGTCTCTTACAAAAGCAAGTAGGAGCTGGGTGAACTAAACAATGAGTCCTTCCTATGGACATTTTTTTTTCTTGGCTGTTGTTACAGAAACATCTGCCAAAGAAGGGCTGCTGCTTTGGTGTCAGAGGAAAACAGCTCCTTATAGAAATGTGAACATTCAGAACTTCCACACCAGGTAAGCACAGGGCCTCGAGATCTTTCCCTGCTCACTGGAATCCACTGCGGCTGGGAGAAACCATGTTTGTTTACTTTGGGGTTTCCCTCCTCCTGCCTGGAGTTTGTGTATGGAGGAAAACCATGGTATAGAACTCTTGATGCTCAGGATCTCCCAGGGGAAAAGGTTCAGTGGAGGTGTGGGATGCTCAAAAGGCAGCCTTGTTTACAACCAAAGGGCCAGCAGTGCAGGAATTTGGGGCACGAGAATGCGCTTCAGTTTGGCTTCACCTGCTGCTGGGAGAAGGCAGTAGGATTGGTGGTCACTTGTCAGTGACAGGTGAGACCCTGGTAGACTTGGTGCACCCTGATCCCTCAGGCCTTGTCATCAGCTTTGCTCCTCCAAGATTCAAAAGAAGAAGGAAAATCACTTCTGAAAAATCACAGGGAATGAGATGAGTGAAGTGCTGACATAACCTGTGATCAGGATTCATGCTTGCTGTGGTCTTCTGTCTCTTGTATATTTGTCATCACGTGGACATGGAGATTTGGTTGTATACTTACCCTTCAGAGTGGGGTTACTCTCAAATACAAATGGGTCTGTGGATAGTGGGAGAGAGGAAGGACCAAGATGGGCCACAAGGACTGATTGGGAGGTTCTTATAGCTCAACAGATATCTTGAGAGTGCATGCCTGGTACGAGCACTGAGCCACCCAGGCCTTCGGAGCACAGAAGGGGAAATGCTGCCATGTCCCCACTGGATGCTGTTTGGCAGATGATAGGAGCCAGGCAGGGCTGGGGCCTTTTGCCAGAGCCCCAGACTTGCTTCCACTCACCTTCTTGCTTGTTTTCCACTGACCCTAGGTTGTCACAAGCCCTTCAGCAACAAGGCCTGGAGGCTCCCACCAGAGTCTCCTTCCACTCCCAAACTTTTGGGCACAGAGCTCTGTACCTTGCCAGACTTCACCGACCCTGCTGTCACCTGCACATGCCAAGCTTGGCATTGGCTAAGGAGTGATCAGTGCTGGTGTCTATGGGAAATAGCCTGGAAATCAAAATCCGCCCTGTTCCTTGTGTGTCCCCTTGCCTACATGCCTTTGCCTTAGAAAATAAAGGAAAGAAAGAAATGCACAGGAACAAATGGTGGCTTTTGAAGTGTCCCTGAACTCAGTGGGAAGGTCCCTGGGCATGTTCGGAGTAGAGTTTCTCAGGGGTTTTTATTTGGCAGCCCAAGGGTAAGGACCAAAGTGGAGAATGAGGAGAGGAGGAAATCTGGGACAGGAAGGGCAGGCACAGCACAAAGGCATCATCCTCCTGCCATGGTCTGTGCCATGGAAACAAGGCAGGACCCTGGCAAGTCCTTGTCATTGAAAACGGAAAGGAGAGGACCAAGAGGTGGCAGTGTTTACTGCCCCCAGGAAGAAGATGGGCGTGCAAGGGACCACCAACCTGCTGGGTAGGGTCAAGGGGAAGGTCCCTTCGGTGTATTCAGTCGGAGGGAAGGCCAGCATCTTGCTGAGCGGAGCCTGCTTGTTGCTTTTTCTCCTTTAACCATGTTCCTCTTCTCCCCCATGTTGGTTGTGAAGCTGGAAAGATGGCCTTGGACTCTGTGCCCTCATCCACAGACACCGGCCTGACCTCATTGACTACTCAAAGCTTAACAAGGTCATTCTGGGTTGGCCCAGCATGCAGTGTCCCCTCCCTTTTGCTCAGCATGTGGTTCTGAGAATGAGCACATCAGCACTAACTAGAACAGACCCAGTGCTGCCACAAAACCCTCCCTGGACAAGCATGCCCTCCCAGCTAGCCTTCATGGGAGGCCGTGGACAGCAGCCAGGAGCATGCTCATCTGCCATGGAGGACGACACCAAAAGCCAGGCCAGGCCTCCAGGCCCCCACCAAAATACAGCTGATGATTGGTTGGACTTCCTGGGAAGGTGTCATCCATGTTTCTTAAAGATTTTATGTTCCTGGAGTATAAAAATGAGCATTGAAGCCCATAAATATATATTTCTTTTGGCAAGGGACTTTCAAATACTCCAAGCCTTTTAAAATTCCCTTTGCCTTCTGAGAATTTAGTGGCAGGAATATTTACTCAATTAATTAACTTGTTTCTTGCACAAAGGATACTTCCTATCTCACTATTGATACATGATATTAGTTAGAAAAGTTTTGGGATTTTTGTTTTGTTTCGTTTTGCTTGTTTTAGACAATTGGACTTAGAAAACTAATTCTCTCTTTGAGCCTAAAGTTTAGTGTGTCTAAGTTGTAGGTTCCTTTTCTAAATCATTCTTTAATAACAGTTTGCAGTGTGACTAGCAATGCTAAAAGAAGTCAAGGCCCTGTCCAGATGCATGGTGTGTGCTGCTTTAGAAGTAACTACTGGGGGCTAGCGTGGCCACCCCTGCTGGCCACTCCCAGCGGAAGTCCCAGCCCATGTCTCCCTGGGTGCTGGTGTGCTTAGCTGGGTGCTTGTGTTTGGGTGTGGAATCTGCCCTGCTGCATGCTGTACTCACCTGTGTGGCACAGATGGTCGTCGGAAGGGTCCTTGCTTCCCACATCTTGTTAGTTATTGCTTGCCCACCCACCCTTACCCCAGCCTATCTCCATGGACTCAGGGAAGCACATGGGGAGTTCACTTACATCCTGGATTCAGACTACAGTGCTGTAGTGGAAAATGGAGCTTCCCCCAGCTCCTCAATGTGCATATTACCCCAAGTTCCCTTGACACATTTTAATCATATGGACAATGTACATTTTTCCCATAAATCTCTGTTGCATTAGCAAAATGAAGAAACTGTACTAGACTCAGTTGTACTAGATAGGCTCATTATAAACTAGCATTTTATAATGGTTAGTGTTTGTTACGAAAGGTCCATAGACCTGTGGTGATTGGCTATTTGCAATGGATGGAAAGTGATAGTAAATGACGGCAGCTAATCCTTTACATGGTGTGAGATCAGAGCCTGTTAGATATGTATGCATATGTGTACTCACATGTATGTGTGTAGATACAATCACACACTTTTCTTCATGCCTTACTCTAAAGTTGGTGCTCTTAGGAAACTCAAATGGCCTGGGGCCATTTGGACAATAGCTGAGCTAACTACTCAACTGCTGCATGTTCTCTCTTTATGTTACAGTCCAGATGAGACAGATTTTACAGTCTCAGAGTCATTACTCTGTTTTTGGTGTCAAAACCTTAAGTCTTAAATAATTTTTGGAAAAAGAAAGAAACTTGTATGCTCTAGTTGGCTTCATAAGCACATCCATACAATACGATGGTGAAATTCACTACATGGATCTGCTGTCAGTCAAGTACTTACACACTGTATTAAAACCATACTTAGTTAACTTACTTTTTTGCCTAAAATAATGATCTACTGTATGGGACCCGGAAGCTGATATGTGTTTTTAAACTCGCACTTTTCAATTATCCTATTTAAATGATTGTGCTCATCGCAAAGCGTCACAGTTCCTAAAATGTTCAAACAGCTTTGCTGTTAAAATTGATGACAATCATTCTTGCGTAATTGGGTAACAGCACTACTTTTCATTTTGATTTTTCTATTTTACCCCCATCCATTTCAGACATATAAGTTAATTCCTTAATAGATCAGAACAATACCTCAAGTCTTTTAGTTTTTTAGTGTTTCAGTTCTACACCTGAGATTAAATTTATTTTGTAATACATATTTAACCAATTTCACAATGAAAGATATATGTAGTCTTTAGAAAACATGTCTTCACAAATTCACAGTTTTTAAGATTTTGTACTTTTTTTAGGATTTGACTTAATGAAAACATGATTTTTGTTCTTCACAGCTGCCTGTAGCCTCTTTTGTGAACTTAGAGTCTCAGCCAGCTCCACCTCCTGCAGCCCTCACCCCTCTGCCCTCCACCAGTCACCCCTCCGCCCTCACCCCTCTGCATTCCGCTCTCACCCCCACCCCTTCTCTAATTTTTCAAACCAACCTGTTAGAATAAACTTTCTCCAAGACGACTCTGCAGATCTGGAAGATGTGTCTTCCATGGTTCCTTTGAGCAAGATGGAAATTGTGTGGCTCGCAGGCTGGAACACATGCTCTGAAGTGCCATTCATTCTTCTCAGTGGGGAGATTCCTGACAGCCTGTCCCTTGTGCTTGCGCAGTGTGCAGTGCAGTGTGCATGGGTCCTGTGGTTTCTGTGACTTCGCTGTTTCTTGCTGTGTTCAAGGCAATGGGGGAAAGGCGAGAGGGACGACAGTCCTGTAGGGTAGGGTCATGTGTGGGTGGTGCAGCCCTCCCCAAGGTGAGGGGAGAAGAGGCGCTGTCCCTGAGTTCTGCTTCAGTATTTTAAAGAGCTGGCTGTGTTGTTTTGTGCAGGATGACCCCATAGGAAACATTAACCTGGCCATGGAGATCGCGGAGAAGCACTTGGACATCCCCAAGATGCTGGATGCTGAAGGTGAGCTGGGAGTGTGTCCGCTGAGTTCTAGAGGACCCCTGGATTCTAGTGCAATGGCTCTGCAAGGGACCTTGCAGAGCTTTTGCTAAGTTACATTGAAGTTCTTGTGATTCCTGACAGACTTCTCTTCCTAGACACATGAGTATTAGAGTTTTACATTTAACTTGTTCATATGTATGTATTTAAACCCTGCTCAAAAACAAGCCAGCATAATTACAGTGAAAGGATTTGGCACAAAGTTCAGCTTTAGCTCAGAAAACAGAATGCTTTGGTTTATCATTTTTAAAAAAAGACTTTCTGCATTTATTTTTTTCCAACAACATAATGCATTTTCCTTAACCACATAGAGATAAGTTTAGCAAATAAATCTCTCTGTGACATAAGTGGGGCAGGGGGAACCCTTCCTTGTAACTAACTAGAAGTTGCAGAACTAAGTATGGAGCATTCAGCCATCAGTTTACCAGCCAGACCTTCACATCTCATTTTTAACTAAACTAAATTGTTTTATTGAATCTGGGACAACTTCTGTACATGGTGAGTTCATGTAAGCTGTGCCTGTGGCACCTCTTTCCAGAACAAACTTGAGGAAACTTCATTTTGTCCATCCGCGGGTCACCTACTGCTCAGAAGACACTGACCAGGCTCTTAGAATGAGAAAGGCCCTCTGCTGGGTACCTGGAGGCGAGGGAGAAGTTCAAGCCACAGAGTCATACTCAGATTTCACTTTGTTGTTATTATTTTATTCCCTAATGGTCCATTGCTTTGGAAAAGTAAGGAACTTGATTACAGTTAATAGCAGCCTTCCATTTTTCCTTATTTTGGTGATTGTTAGGGCTGCTACAAGAAGTAACCACAAACTGAGTGGCTTAAAACAAGGAGAGATTCTTCCTATTAATAACTCTGGAGTCTGTAAGTCTGAAATCAAGGTGTTGGTGGGATCCCCAGACAGTCCTTGGCTTGTGGCAATGTCAGCCCAGTCCCTGCCTTGGTCTTCACATGGCCTTCTCCTGTGTCTGTCCTTGTATAAGGACACTTGTTGGAGTCAGGCCCTCCCAGCTGCAGCATGCTCTTACCTTCCTTGGATCCCATCTGCAGAGACTCTCCTTCCAAACAAGGTCACGTTTGTGATGCTGGAGGGTAGGTCTTCAGCATGTCTTTTGGGGTGACATACTTCAACCCATGATTGTGGTCTTTCAATCAGGACTTCACTGTTGCCCACTTATTAAACTCATTTCTGGTGCTAACACTTGAATGCACTTTTCAGAATTTTACTTAGTTTTTCTAAAATTCTTCAGAGGTAGAGAAGAGAGTCAATATAACAATGAAGTAAGACAGCAGATTTCTTTCTGCTCTTTGTCCCTCTGCCCTCTCCAAAATAAGTTCCTCTTTGTGTGGTTTCTCCTTTGGCTTCTCCTGTGAGAATAATTACCTGGAATTCCTGAGGTAATAGCCAGGACACATCAGCAAAGCCACCTTCTGGCTCAATGATGCCTCCCTGGCACTCTGAATTGAGGCAGGTCTCAGTTCTGCTCATCACTGACCAGTTGTTGGGTCTGGCACTGCCCTTGCTCTGGGCCTGCCCACACTCTCTCTTGCTTCTTGTCTTGGTCTCTGGCTCCTGGCCTGGGTATCTGTCCACTTCATGTGTCCCTTGTGGCTGATGGGAAAGGTGCCACTGTAGTCTTTTTCCTCATCATCTTTCATTCCTTTTTTCCACCTTTCCTTTCTAATGGATCAGAAGAACGCTCCTGCGTTATTGTCCTTACGGAGTATTACTCAGGGTCTCTGCAGGCCAGCAGTGTGGAAGGGTGCAGAGGCCTGGGTACAGAGTGTACTCTGCTAAAATCTGATAGATGGAAAGACCCCACGCAGTGCCCTTCGTTTTTTGCTTTGACCCATGGGGCTCTTCCATGCAATGGCAGGTCCAGGTCTCCTCCTCTCAGCTCGTTAGTGCCTCTTGGAAGACCTTGACTTTCCACTGCCACTGTTGCCTTACGTTTTGTTGCTTGTGTTGGTCTCTGAACCCGGGAAGGGATTTTCAAGTGGTTAATTGGCCTATTTAGCCAGGAACTGTACCTGTAGAGAAAAGTGAATTCTTCTCATCTGAACTCTTTAGCATAATTTTAAGAGGTTGTGAAAGTTATTTCCCTACTTTTCACCATGAACCTATTTGAGGTGAACCCTGGGTTTGGCTCCTTGTAGACCTGGCAGGGGCCTGGTGACCCTGGGCCTTGTGTGTAGTGACAGGATGTCCCTGTGAGTGCACTGAAGTTCTGGAGGCCTCGTTCTGGCCACGGACATGACTTTCTTGCTAGTTGAGGCTCTTCTGGGCTGGCAGTGCCTTCTCTGGGCAGCTCCTTCGTTTCCTACGGCAGTTCTTGGAAGTGCACGGAGTGGTGACTTTGTAACGTAACTTCTTGGACTTGAGCCGAGATTTAAACAGCCCCAGTGTGGGGTAGGGGAGAATCCCTGCCTCTCTGAGGAAGCACTGGGCAGAAGCTGTGGGACTAGAACATCCACAGCTAACACCTTTTCTCCATGCAGAGTCAGCACACACTACCAGACCCGAGGAGAGGGCCTCAATGACTCATGCTCCCTGTTACTGCCATGCTTTTGCTGGTGTGCAGAGGTGAGGCCGCCAACACAGGTCACCACTCACCTTCATCTCCTATGTCTGGATTTTTTTCCTCTCATTTTCCTGTTTTTTCCCTTTCTTCTGAGTAAAGAGACCCATCTTGTTCTGAGGAAGCTGGTGTTTGTCTTTTGTAGTCTAGTTTTCTTGAAACTTACTGTTCACGCAGTGGCACGCCATTTGTGTTTGTTTTCCTGAGGATTCCACACAGTCATACAATTCCATGTTCTTCCTGTTAATGGCCTGGGTGAACCCAGTGACAAGTCTTTGCTCTAGGGGATCACAGGGAATTGTGTTAGCTTCATTCTGTCATTGACTGATTAGAGTTCATGAGCAAGGTTAAGCACTGTGCTGCCAGGGTGGAGCAGGAAGGGGTGTACTTGCGTGGTCATCTATTCTGATTGGTCTTCAGCTAGTGCAGAGGGTAGTGGACACTCAGGAGCATGGCCGTGCCTGCCCTTTTCTCTAAATGTGTTGTCACTCTTGGTGTCTCTCTGAGTGGCGTGCGGTAAGTGTGTGTGGAGGGTGAGCACCAAGCCCTCTCTTCAGGTGATTTTCAGAGCAGAGAATGCCGGCCACTCTGATGGTGAGGATGGGGGAGTCCAGAACAGTCTGCTAGTATCTTGAGCATCTTTCAGAGTGACGTGCACTCTCCAAGCAGCTTGTCAAGAGGAGTCTCCAGAAAAGGGTGACATTCTGATGCAGCAGCCGGTTCTGTGGTCATGCACTGAACACCCTTTAAAAGCCCATCAGGATAGGGAGCACAAATCTCCAGTTGATTGTTCAAAAAAACTGTGGGTTTAGATCATTCTGTCAGGAGAAATCTCAGTGTTGTGCAGTCTTCCCAGTCAGGATCCCGGGCCTGTGAAATGCATAGAAAACAGGCCATGTGACCTGGTTTGCTCTTCCCTGTGTTCACCCTGGTTTCTCCTCTTCGCCTGTGTGTGTGTCCTGTGTTATTTTCTCCCCCTCAGACATTGTGAACACTCCCAAACCTGACGAAAGAGCCATCATGACTTACGTCTCCTGCTTCTACCATGCTTTCGCAGGAGCGGAGCAGGTACTTGATCCCGTGCACTGCTGGCTGGCTGCTCCGTGTGTGCCTGGCGTGTGTGTGTGTGCGTGCTTCACATCTGACTTGGACTCTTTCTTAGTGTCACCGAACAACCTAACACAGCAAGTTCCAAGCTGCAAATACTTTGTAATGCTTTAACTTTACACAGTTATGGAAGGGTTTTTAGTCTATATTTTTTCCTTCTGAGATCTTTTGTTTATCTCATTAGTCAATTGTAGAAACATTTGGATTTTAGGAATAAAAGAAGTGCCTTGAAGACCAAGCCACATGCATCAGGCAGTGGGGGTTGACAAGAGAGGTAATGCCTTCCCTTGATCATCTGCCTGAAAATCGCCTTCATGGCTCAGTGATTTGTTCTCATATCTGTCAAGATTAATCTTTTGTTTAGTGAACAGTGAAAGGGATACAAGTGCTATAGCCTCAAAAAAAGAAAAGTCAAATTCCTCCAGTAAACAGCCCAGACACTGGGAGAATGTTCTTCAGCTTCTGCAGCTTCACCAGTTCCTGCTGCTCACCCTTTACATTATGTGGAATTCCGATAGACGGGGTGGATGGTGTGTGTCTTCCTGCAGTCCCTTTCATTTAAAAGTGATCATTGGGAAGCAGTCATAACTGAAATCTGCCTGTGGTTAGGCCCAGAGGGCTTCAGAGGCCAGGCTGGTGGAAGGCTATGGGCCTGGAAGCATCCTTGAGCATGTTCCTCTTCTCCATCCACCACATGGTTGTGGTTTGAGGCCATGACCACAAATGACAACAGAGGATTACAGTGACTCCTCAGGTTAAACAGTAAATTAAACAAAACCCTAAAGCAAGCTCAGCTCTGTGTGAGGACCCTATCTAGAAAGTTCTGCATACCCTTTTCGGAAGATACCTTGGGTGCATTCAGTGCAGCACTGTGTCTGTGTGCTTAGGGCCAGTCACTCTTGCTTTGATTTCTGAAGTCCAGTGTCATTCAGGACATCTCTGCTCTATTGCCATGAGATCAGTGTTGAGGAGTGTTCAGGTGGACAGACATTCAGGGACCCAAGATTTGGTCTCCTTGACCCACACATGTCTGTTACTAACTTGCTTGATGTCTTACAAAGCCTGTGTCTTGGACTAATGTCATCTCCCCGTTGTTGCACACAGTATATCCAGCCTGCTGTGTAAGTCTCTGTGAAAATTTAAAAACAGTGTGAAATGATTCAGTGTCAGAAAGCTGTGCCCTCTGTCCTATCCTGCCCTCACCCACTCTGTGCCTTTTTCAGCACGTCACCCCTCCTCGCCCTCAGCCTGGCCCTGTTGGCCTGTGTGTGTGCACCCTGTCGCTGGAGCCGTTCCGTTTACCTCTTGTGTTTTGCAGGCTGAGACAGCGGCTAACAGGATATGTAAGGTTCTTGCTGTGAATCAAGAGAATGAGAGGCTGATGGAAGAATATGAGAGGCTAGCGAGTGAGGTAAAGGAAACTGGTGGCCCCGTTCTGTCCACACCCATCCAGGGGGTGAGGCGCAGAGTGGGTAGTGGAGCGTCCATGGTCTTTGCACTTTCCACCTCAGATAGAAGGAAGGCAGAAGATGTGCTGCATCTGAAAGGAGGGTTATCCTGTAGCCACGCAGGTCCCGCTGCAGACAGCCCCACAGCACAGAGCTGGTCCGCGTGTTCCCAGCTAGTGAAGTGCACCCTTCCTTGGGCTCTGCTCTATGGGTCAGATCCCCAGATGACACTGCGGGACTTGTGTTCCTCCTGACATCACACAGGATGCGGATCGTGTTCAGGAGCCTTGCTCCATGTAATGGCCCCTGAACAGAACTTGTATGACCCGCTGTGAGGAGGTGGCCCAGCCTGTGTATCTGCCATGTACCCAGGGCATCCAGAACAGAGCGCCCTCCCCACAGGGTCTGCACCCGAGGTCCAGGGATGCCTGTCCACAGCTCTTCTGCCAGACCCTTGGTTAGAGAAGCACTATCCCTGTTGATCTCTTGTCCTCATCATAGCACAGGTTGCAAGGAGGCATGTCCTGCCTGCCCAGGAGTTTTTTCTCCCTTGGGCTGGGCAAGGCCCACAGGCACCTCCTCCGAGAATAGACTCCAATACAGTGGCACATGTTCAAGCCCAGATAATTTTTGCTCTTGACTTAATTTACCTTAATTTTCCCTATGCAGGGAAAATTATCAGGACTCTTGGAGTAAATTGTCCCAATTAATAGTTTATGGTAATCTAATCTAGTGATACTGAGTTTATATTTTTATATTACTGAGGGGAGGAAATATATATTTTTTGTTTTGTTTTTTTTTCTTTCTTTGTTATTCATAGTTTACTATGGAAAAATCCAATTGGACAGCATTGTTTAAAACTGCAATGAAATTCAGGTTTCAATTATGACCAGAACAGAAGGACAGTCGGTTCTCAGTAATGAAATCCTCCCTTTTCTTACTTGGTCTTTCATTTATGCTCCTGAGACCTTGGACTGCAGCAGTCTCCCCACTTACACTGCTTTATTCTAGTCTGCTGGCATTTCCCTGACTATCAGCAGGCCTGGGGGGACGACGGGCCTCCTGTGGGTCGTTTCCAGGCCTGTGAAGGGGTGTGCAGGAGCCGGGGATGCACCACCATTCTCACTGATCTCTGACTGGTTTACTTAAAAGCTGGATGTTAAAATAGGCACTGGCACTGAGTCAGCCCCACGCTTACGGTACATTTGTCTAGTAAACAAACTCATTAGAGTCATTAGATTCAAGCTTATTTTTTTAAAATGCATTTTGATTTAAACTCAGTTCTTTGCTGAGTTTATAACACTACATTTCCTCCATGTCAGGTTTTTTCTTTCTTTCTTCCTTTTAATTTGGAAGCTCCATCCAGCATTTGTCTGCTAATGTCCGGTCCCTGAGTTTATTGTAACTGTCACATTTTTTGTTAAACATGACTTTGCGTGCTGACTTTTAAGTTTCGACCTGTGTTTGGTGTTGTTGGGGTGGGTCACTACTCACCAGTGGCCCTTAGTGGACTCCAGGAGTCTTTCTCACTGCCATGCGCAGGGCTGCCCTCCCTGCCTTCAGGGCAGGGCACTGTGACCACCCTTCAGTAGTTTGGGGAGCATTAGTTTAACCTACTCCAAATGATCAGGCACCTCTTTTTTTTTTTTTTTTTAACTGGGAGCAGTTTGCTGGTGTTTTCAGCAGTGTTTTTGTGTTTGGGAGCAGCTTTTGGAATGGATTCGGCGCACGATCCCCTGGTTGGAGAACCGGACTCCTGAGAAAACCATGCAGGCCATGCAGAAAAAGCTGGAGGACTTCCGGGATTATCGTCGGAAGCACAAGCCCCCCAAGGTGCAGGAGAAGTGCCAGCTGGAGATCAACTTCAACACCCTGCAGACCAAGCTGCGGATCAGCAACCGGCCTGCCTTCATGCCCTCCGAGGGGAAGATGGTGTCGGTGAGTAGCTGGGGTTGACCTGGGAACGCGGGAAGCCTCATGTTTTCCTAAAGGCTTTTGGCCTGGGTCCCTTCCCTGGTGGGCTGCTGAGAAGGAGGCCTTGACTTCTTGAATCTTGAGACAGGGTCTTGCTAAGTTGCTGAGTTGGTGTTGAACCTGCGATCCTCCTGCCTCAGCCTCACAAGCTGCTGGGATCAGAGGCACGCACTCTGCCACCTTGTCATTCTTGATGTTTTTCACCTGCCGTTGTACAGTTGTTGACTCAGCCCATGAATGGTGTCCTGCAAAGAGCAGGCCTTAAGCAGATATACCAGGAATGGCCTTTCTTTCCTCCCTTCTCCAACCTTACCACATCTGCCCCCATAGATCTACCGGCAGGATCACGTACCCTCTCCTCCCTTAGATATCCACCTAAGCCTGACCTCAGGATGGCTTTGAGGCTTCATTTTGTAGCCAGAAAACTTAAGCCCTGAGTGCCTCTGTCCATACCTGGAGAAGTGTGGGCTTGGCACAGGAGAGCAGCTGTATTTTGAAAGGTCCTTGTGATGATGAAGACATTTGGAAACCAAGATAATTGAATGGTGGGGAAGGAAAAGGAAACAAAGGGAGTACTGCCAGACGGGCACTGGAGGATGCCCAGGGAAGGCCCAGGAGGCCCATGCATAACAACCTTGCCTTGCCTGTCCTTGTGTCACCAGGACATCGCTGGAGCTTGGCAGAGGCTGGAGCAAGCCGAGAAGGGTTATGAGGAATGGCTGCTCAATGAGATCCGGAGGCTGGAGCGCTTGGAGCACCTGGCTGAGAAGTTCAGGCAGAAGGCCTCCACCCACGAAACCTGGGCCTACGGTGAGTGCACAAGGTTAGGGTCCAGCTGCGCAGAACCAGGAGGCAGAAGGCCTCCACCCACAAAACACAGGCCTATGGTGAGTGCACAAGGCCCACACTCAGCTCTGGGAGGTCAGGGTCCAGCTGCGCAGAGCCAAGAGGCATCGTTACTAATTGTCGCCAGCATCTGCGATGCCACAGGCAGGTGTCCTCCCCTTTGCCCTGGTCCTAGTGCTATGTTTCTCAAGAGGAAAGTGTGAAGCTGTGTGTTCTAATCAAGCCTCTGAGTGTAGGAGGCTGGCTCAGTGTAGGAGGCTGGCCTCCTCCTCTCCTATCTGGCTCCACAGTAGCTGTCTGTTGCCTAACTGTGGATCAGACAGCCTCAGCCCAGCCTCTGCCACGAGATGTGTATCAAATGCCATCAAGCATTCTACCTAGAAAATCTAACAGGGAAGGAGGAAAGCCAGGGTGGTCTTCTGTGGTCTGACTTCCTCGTTGCCCTTGCGTTCATCTGCTTCCTTCAGGCCTTACAAATGGACCTGAACCTGTAGCCAGGGTGATGTGTCTGCTGGACTAAGTGGTCATTCCTGCTGAAGGAGGGGAACAGAACCTTCACTCCACCCTGTAATAGTCTGTTTTGAGAGAGGTGGGGGAGATGTCCCGTCATTCTCTGCTGCCCTGTGCTGTTTTGCTTGAGTTTTGATGTTACACAGCAAGGACGTGACAGTGGCAGCTGTGTGCCCTGGACAAGTGCGTGATCTCTCAGTGCCCCAGTGTCCTCTTCAGAATGGGAACAGCAGTAACATCTCCCTTGAAGGGTTTCATGAAGATTTGGTGAATTCATATTTATGAATATGAATTCATATTCAATCAGTGTTGGACACACCATAAGTGCTGTGTTTTCATCATTAAATATTTGCTTTCTATTTCAGTCTTTATCCAATGAAATTCTTTTTCCCCCTGTAATGTTGGAGGTTGAATCCAGGGCCTCACACATGGGAGGCAAGTGCCCCACCACTCAGCTATATATCCAGCTTCTGGAATTAAATGCTTACAGGTCATTAGCCAGGGAATAAGTGTGGATCCAGTTCTTCAACCACAGCAGTTGCTGGAGTTAAGACATGTGGGGAAGTAAGTGGAGGTTCAGGAAGGAAAATCTGTAATGTTTAATTTCAGGACAACAAAACCCAGGCCACATTTGACCACAGAAGTAAAGCTTTCAAGAAGAAAGCACCGTGGTGGGGTGGCACTTGTGGCGGAGAACAGAGCCTGGGTGTCACAGTCAGCCACCCAGTAGCTCCTGGGAGCCATGGTTCACTGAGCTGAGCTGAGCTCTGGAGGGGCAGTGTCTGCTACTCAGTAATGAAGAGCACAGCTTTCTTTTGTGAAACGCCCTCAGTGTGCCCCCACGCCTGGGGCACCGTGGGCTGTGGGCACCTGGAGGGGCTGGGGTGCTGAATGCCTCCTGCCTCAGTCCTGCCATGCTTGGCACCTCCTCTTACCTCTTTGGAAACTCGGTGCTCTCGGGGTGCTTGTCCATTGCGAGGAAGCCACTGGGAGGCTGCAGGGTACTCACACTTGCTTGATGCCACCTTTGCAGGCAAAGAGCAGATCTTGCTGCAGAAGGATTATGAGTCTGCATCCCTGACAGAAGTGCGGGCCTTGCTGCGGAAGCACGAGGCCTTTGAGAGTGACCTGGCGGCCCATCAGGACCGCGTGGAGCAGATCGCGGCCATTGCACAGGAGCTCAAGTGCGTGCTGAAGCCCAGGGCATGGGTCTTGGGGACCCCTGGGAGAGGGCAAGGGAGGCCTGCCTTCCTCTTCTCTAATAGATCCAGAGCCAGGCCAGAGCACCCTGGGGCAGGATTCTTGTTTCTCTAAATGTAGAAACAGATTTGACTTAGGTTCATTGGTTGTGGAAGAATCCCTGCCTCCCATCCAGCAGCACCCCAGCCCCCTACAGCTGGGGAAAGCAGGGCAGAGGCCTAGGCTCCGAAGGTGGGGCAGGGCAGCCTCACCCTTTCCCCACCCAAGAGGAGGACCTGCCTGTGCAGAGAACAGCACAAAAGGAGCCACTATCTGGGCCCTGGAGCAACTGTCTACTCTGCTTTTCATTTTATGGCAAGAGCTGGTGTGGAGACTGAGGCCAGGTGGGGTTGAGCACTAGGTGGAGGTTCTCGGTCCTTCCTTTTTTCCCCTTCATTATAATCACTGATACATTTGCAGGACTTTAAGAGCCTAACACATAATAATAGCTTTAAAAACTACATAATAAAAATTGATTTCAGTATGTTACATTTTAAAACACCCAGGTTCCTCACTTTGACTAGAGCAAACTTGATTGACAGGTGGGGCCTTTTTTTAAAAGAGAACACTATTCTTCAGCCTTGTCATATCAGCTCCATAAAAGCACTTCATTTTCTGTGGACTTCATATCCTGTCTCTACTCTAAGTTGTGGCCTTTACATAGTCTTACAGCTCATGCTGCTTCCATGTTGGCTCTGATTGCTCATTAATAGTTACCAATAAAATAAGGGATGAAAAGAAACTCAGGCTATTTAATGCTCTATAATAGTTCCCATGAGTAATTAGAGCTGTTCTAAGTGTTGCCCATAAAATTTAAGAAGTAATTTCATATTATTATTATTCCTGGTACCCTAGTGCCTGTTTCCTGACATAGTTGAGATGAACCACATACTGAACTGGTCTGTGTCCATTATATTGCTAGTAATGTTTTTATCTTTTTTGCCTATCTTAAAGTAATAAGTCAGTTTTTTGCAGTTCTTAAAGTACACAAAAATAGTGTGTATAATTATGCAAATCCTGACTCCTAAAAAGCAGATACACTTGCAGCAGGTGCATGTAGATTATCGAGGAGAGACCCTAACGATAATACTGGAGGGGTGAGCACTAGAATCTCCATTGGGGATATGTAGAAGCAGCCTTTGGTTTTTGTTTCCAATTTTGGTCTGTTTGTTTGTTTGTTTGTTTTGGGCAAAGGGGATTGAACCCAGAGATGCTTAACCACTGAGTCACATCCCCAGTCCTTTTTATTTTTTACTTTGAGACAGGATCTTGCTAATTTGCTAAGACTGGTCTTGAACTTGAGATCCTTCTGTCTCAGCCTCTGGAGTCACTGGGATTACAGGCATGCACCACTATGCCTGGCTCATTTCGCATGTTGGAGAAGTCTTTCTTCTATTTTTTTTTTTTTTTCAAGTGCCGGGGATTGAACCCAGGGCCTTGAACATGCTAGGAAAACACTCTACCACTGAGCTATCCCCAGCCCCAATATTTGCATTTTGAAGAGCCATTGCTGCCTTTGTTTTTATTTTCAGGGATGTGCCCACTGCTGGTGTGTTTTTCTTGTTTTGTGTGCGTGCATGTATGTGTGTGTATGGGGGTGGTGGTTTTTGTTTGTTTTGATTTTTTTTTTTTTTTTGGTCATAAGAAATTGGCATGCCTGGTGCAGTGGCACATGCCTATAATCCCTTTGACTCAGGAGGCAAAGGCAGTAGCACTGCAAGTTCAAGACCAACCTCGGCAACTTAACAAGGCCCTAAGGACTTAGCAAGACCCTGTCTCAAAACACTAAAAAAAAAAAAAGCCTGAGGATGTGACCCCGTGGTTAAGTGATCCTGGGTTCAATCCTGAGTACCAAAAAAAGAAAAAGAAATCAGCACAAGAATCTTAGCTTCAGTATAGAGAAGAGAGCATGTTTGTGGAAAGCTGGTTGCCCTTGAGAACTGGACAGGTTTTAACAAGGTGACAGAAAACTTCTGTCTACCAGAGGAACAGTCAGGTGAACACTGAAGAACCTTGAGATAGCAAGCACAGGCATCTCCTCCGCTCAGTAGCAGAAACAGTAGGTTGAGTGAGCAGGAAAAACAGCAATGAACAACTACTGCCTTCATATAAGGTCAAAAAAAAAAAAAAATAAGACTTAAGCCTGACGGAAATGGATGGGGCAAGGAAAGGGGGGCTTCGCAAAGCTGTCTCTTCCTGTTCTCTTGAGGAAGCCTCCTGAATGTCTTTACATTTCCATGATTCTTGCTTTTATCTTAATTAATGGCTGATTAGGTTTTGTAGAAGATCGAAACTTCCTATTCCTGGAGACGTGAGGTTGACCTTCTAGTCAAGCCTTTTTTCAGAAAGTTCTTCACCTCACAGTGATCCCCATAAGGGGTCCATGGGTGGATCTGGCCAGGAATGGTTAGCATTTAGCAAGAAATCATTTTGTTCTGGCTTGTTGGATTAGTGGCAAGAACCTTGTGGTCCCTATGCGGAAGGGCTCTGTCCTGCCCTCTTTTAGAAGTCCCTGTGTGCTAGATAAAGTCACAGTACTCTCCAGTACAGGATGCTATACTTGGTAGTGAGCTTGTGCCCTTCCAGAGGAACCAAGGACACCCAGTGCAAGCCCACACCTCCCTCCCCCTTGACTCACTGTTATGGTCACTGTGGCTGCAGTGGCCTGCAGGACTGTCCTCAGGGCAGAGAGTTGGCTTCACTTACAGTTTCCATTTAAAAATCATGCTTCCAGAGGGTCTCAGAGAGAACAAGGAGGGAGAAGGCTAACCAGAGGCATTAAGGGGACAGCGTTCTTTCAGTTTAGAAATTTGTTGACCGACATAAAAGTTTTACTAATTCTTATAATTTTTCTAAGACTAATGGGAATAGTCAATAAAACCCTGAAATGCCCTGTCAATTCTCTTGCCAGATCTTTTTATTTAAAACGTCCTTGTCTGTTTTGAGCCCCATTTCCCCTCATATCAACTGGGAAAACTAATCTTTATTTTCACTCTTCCTAGTGAACTGGATTATCATGATGCTGTGAATGTCAATGATCGTTGCCAGAAAATTTGTGACCAGTGGGACAGATTGGGGACCCTCACTCAGAAGAGGAGAGAGGCCTTGGAGGTGAAGTCTTAAAAGCACCTGTAGACATGAAGTCTTTTAATGGAGGCTCTTTAATTAAGTCGCTGGTATTCTCTGCGTCTCTGTGGCCTTGTGTATTTAAATCTAAACAGATCATTTGGTGAATGGAGCCTCTGAAGGGAATACACAAAGTGGGAGATAGGAACATGGGAGGTTGGTAGCACTGTGTGTTCTTTTGAAGTTTTTAAGAAGTATAGGGATGATGGTATAAGCCCACTTGGTCTCAAGTAGTAATTATAGTAAATTTCCAAAAGTCCTTCTGTATGTGTAAATTGACAGTCAGGAAATCAGGAAGAACCCAATTTGAGATGTGCAGAGGGAAAGTGGTAATGGATATTCAAGGAAAAATTGATGAGACACAGAATCAGAGTGCATCTAGAAGACAGTAGGTAGTGGGTTTAAGGGTACCTAATAGTCTTTTACCATGAAAGGACTCCTGGGACCTGAGGGAAAGAGGCCGTTTCCAGGTCCCAAGCTTTTCCCCTTGACTCTAATGAAATATAAACGTGTGGACTCAAGCTTCCAAGTGCCAGCTGGCTGTTACACATTTGCATAGAAAATAGGGGGAGGAAGGACCAAGCACAACAGATACAGTGCGAACATTTTAGAGTAGGAGAGAAGGTGAATCTGACAGTGGGAGACCCCCAGGTACAGCATGCTCTCTGTCTGCTCCCCGTCAGCTCTGCTGTGGAGAACAGCACACCATCTCTCTCTGATGCTGGAAGCCTCGTGCTCTCATAAACCCACAGAGGTGAGCATTGTATTCCAAATAAGGAGATCGCCAAGCTAGTTCCTTCTCTCCTCCCTCTGTAGGTGACTTTGAGAGAGTCACATAGCTTTCTTGTACCTTGTAGACGACATAATGCAGAAGGTGTCTTGAGTTTCCTGCTACCCCACAGTTGGAGAATCAAGCCTCTAATTTACCAAGACCTGCTTTAGCTGAAAGCAAGTTAGGAATACTGTATATGGATTCTCAGTTTTCCAGAATCTAATATCTAGCAGAGTACTTCAGGCGCTTTAAAACCAAGACTGCTCTGGGTGTCATTAAATCCTTCGAAAGGCCTGTGGGGCTCAGCCTAATCATTTGAGCCTTGGTTAACCTTTTATAGACATATGCTAAGTGTCAGCTAACACTTTATTGTTTTGGGATATGTGTTTACATTTCTCTGTACATCAGGATTTTTTTTTTTCAATTTAATCTAACACTCCCTTCTATTTAACTGATCTTCAGAGAACAGAGAAATTGCTGGAAACAATTGATCAGCTACACCTGGAGTTCGCCAAGAGGGCTGCTCCTTTCAACAACTGGATGGAGGGTGCTATGGAAGACCTGCAAGACATGTTTATTGTGCACAGCATCGAGGAGATACAGGTAGCCAGACTCGACTCTGCCTGCATTAGAGGTGGTCTTATTTATTTACTGAGTCATCTGTTTATCTATATATTTTTGGCTCTAGAGATTGAACTCAGGGTTTCACACATGCCAGCATGTGCTTTAGCAGTGGGCTGCACCCAGCCCTGTTATTTATTCATATATGTATAATTTTATATATATATTACTTTTTTTAAATAAAAAGCATGTGCTGGGAAGCCCAAATAAGTTGCCCTTTGAACCTTAGTTTGTTTGCCTTTTTGCTGCAACCAGTTGTCATCAGGTAATGTTGGATGCATCTCAAAGGGTTTGCCTTTTTAAAAAAAAATGCTGAATCCTTGAGCAACTTGGACATCTCTGCTCTTAGAGTTGCTCATGGGAAGCTATGAGTCTACTGACTGCTGAGTTAACTACTTTACAAATGTGTATATTATTGCCATATGTTTAGACCTACAGAGTTTTGCCAGATCATAAAACATAAGAAATCCCAAACCAGCACCTTCTTCCTCCCTCCAGTCCACATCGTCTTCTGGAGCTTCAAAGTTGTAAATAAGTCTTCTAAGTGATGATGGTAGGAAGGAAACTGCTTTCAAACAGCCAGGTTCCAATTTATTTAGAGACCATCATACAGTGAATTTAACATAATAGAATATAAAAAGAATACTTTTGTAAATCTTTTTCTGTAAAATAGGAATGTCATCAGCAGAATGGAAATATAGAAGGTTGGGTTTGCACTCCCACCTCGCTGCCAAGGAGCAGGCTAGAAGAGTGGTCCCCCAGTATCAGGGGAGTTTCACTCAGCCCCTGACTTCAGATGGCTCAGTGTAGGGTCTTTCAGCTTTATGACAGTGCAGAAGTGACCTACGTTCTGTGGAAGCCAGGCTTTACATGGTGACTTTCCCACTTTTCCTGGACTGGTGATAGGCAGAGTATCCTCTTGTGATACTGGGCAGGGCCAGTTCCTGGTCTGCCCGCCATCACAAGAGGAAACCACAGACCCTCTACAATGTGTGGTGGGCTAGGTGATGATGGCAGGTGGGTTAGTGTGCTAAATGTGTTTTCAGTTTAGGGTATTTTCAGCCTCTGAGGGCTTACGGGGATGAGGTCTCATTGGGAGTCAAGGAGCAGGTGTTTTCTTTGAATGTTGCAGCATCTGAAAGGGACTTTGTTGGTGTTTCTATGCACATTGCAAAGCAGAGGTGAATCGCTAAAATCTTTTGTCTTTCTTTGGAGTAGGCAAGACTGCTACTTCTGCCTAAGGCGTCACACTGTTTAGTAAGAGCCTGTTGGCAGCTGATGTGCTGCAGGACTAAAATATGCAGTAGGTTCATCCTGGGCCACAGGCAGCAAGGATGTGGACCATGGGACTCACAGTCTCTCATCTGACACATTATCATCAAGGAACGTGTTTGATTTGTGGAGGTTGTATGGAGCTTTCTGGGGAAGAGCTGGGTTCTGAGGGCTTCTCTTTTTGAGGAGCAGATGTTCTGCTGTTGTCTTTAGTTATAAATGAGGTAGCAAGTGATGAGTACAGGGCTGAGAAGAACAGCTGTTGCTAGAAAGGGCAGCTAAGTTCTCTTTTTCAGCAGACAGTAAGACCTCAACAGTAGCAGGGCCCAGACATAACGAAGGCAAAGGTGATTTTTTTGAAGAAGAAAAGAATTGTTTTTTCTAGGCAGAGCTTTTGTATAACATGCAGGCTTTGTTTTTCTCCAGAGGTGCCTTCAGGTAACATACAGACACTCCTGTATGTGAACATCAAAGCCTGTGAAACTGAGGGTAATCTGGGTTTTCTCCCTTGTTCCCTGGTGCAGAGTTTGATCACTGCCCATGAGCAGTTCAAGGCTACGCTGCCCGAGGCAGATGGGGAGCGGCAGTCCATCATGGCCATCCAGAACGAGGTAGAGAAGGTGATTCAGAGCTACAACATCAGGATCAGCTCAAGCAACCCGTACAGCACCGTCACCATGGATGAGATCCGCACCAAGTGGGACAAGGTAGGCGGCATCTTGAAGCTGGGGTTGAGGGGAGAGGGGAGCACCTGGGGCACTAGGGTGACTGCCATCTGGCCTCATAGGCCGGATTTTCCTTCGTCCCAGAATTTCACACTCTGAATGCCAGTTGGTAGCCTTTGTGGTTCTTGGAAAAGAAAGTTGAGATTACTTTATGTAAGGAAAATCTTATAGATTTTGGCAAAATTAGTAGATTGTGATACTAATGCTATTAGGGAAACGGTTCCTAAAATGCCAGCTGAATATGGGGAAATCAGCTTGCCCATAGTATTTCAGTATAGAATTTTTAGACTGAATTATATACCAAATGTGTGAGTTTTAAATTTAAAAGAGTCACTTAGAGGGCTGGGGTTTGTGGCTCAGTGGTAGAGTGCTTGCTTAGCACACGTTAGACACTGGGTTTGATCCCTAGCACTACATTCAGAAAACCAAATAAACAAAATAAAGGTATTGTGTTCATCTGCAACGAAAATATTTTTTTTAAAAAGTCACTTACAAAAATACATTTGAGGGACAAAATATTATTTTCTACTAACTTTTGTTGCTCTTTGAGTTTGGAGAAACTATTCACAAGTTTATAGTCAAAGTGGGCTCATTTTGAGCCCTTTTGTTTCTTTTTCTTTTTGTACTGGGGATTGAACCCAGGGATGCTTTATCACTGAGTGACATCTCCAGCCCTTTTTATTTTTTTATTTTGAGACAGGGTCCCCTGAGTTGCTGAGGCTAGCCTTGAACTTGCAGTCCTCCTGCCTCAGCTTCCTAAGTTGATGGGATCACACATGTACAGCACTGTGCCTGGCCTTTTGGTCTCATTTTAAAGAGAAGCAAGGGTTAGTTACAAGCAGTGCCAAAGAGGGGACAGAAACGGCATGGAAAGGAGGCCAGTATTCATGTCAGAGACAGTCATTGCATGAGAGGTTTTTATTGTGTGTGTTCCCCACCCCCATCCACTGCACTGGAGATAAAACCCAGGGCCTACTGTATACTAGGCAAGCACTCGACCACTGAACCACATCCCCAGTTGTCTGCATAAGAGCTTTGAAGTTAGTTCTGGTCTTCTGGCCAAGAAAAGAGAAAAGGGAAACTGAGCTGAGTAGTTCCCTTTAACAACAACAAAAGGATGTATATAATTTCTTAAAGTGAGATGTACTTTTTTCCCCTCAGTAATTTATAGGGCAGTTGGCCATATGAATTTTCATAAAAGGGACTCTGGCAAATATTGCCTTCAACAGCAGTTTTGTAGATGACACAAAAAAAGATTTCTGCAGTAGTTTTCCTGCCTTTTCAGAGAGCACTGAGGCATAGCCTTAAAAAGTGACTCACAAGTGTGCAGGCCAGGTGCCACTCTTCTCTGGAAGTAGACCTTGGCCAAGCAGGGCTTCTGTGATCACATGGGTCATGGAGAGCTTCAGCAGGCTGGGGAGCCTGAGGATACCTAGATGATGATGTTTACACATTCATAGAATATGTAGGACTATGAAGGAAGTGAATTACACTGAGATATAGTTATTAAAATATTTTTGAAGTTGGGATATAGTAATGCACGTGCCTCTTTACTAATACGTTAAAATCAAGACCTCATATCTGCTGATGATCTTGGAGTAGAGCTGAGAGCACATGATTTATCAGAGGCAGCAGTAGCTGGTGCCTGAACCTCTGGGATTTCTGCTGTGATGTCTCAGGGATGGCAAGGCATGCTGTGGATTTGCTGCACACCTGCGTAATGGAAAAAATTGCTAACTTTGAATCAGAGAGAATGAAAATAAAGATAGCAGTTACCCCCTCATCCAAGTTCACAAATCTGCTACATTGTAGACCTGGCTCTGTGGCATGGGTGCCACAGGAGGAGCTCTCCTGGGAGGAGGGATGGTGGTGTGCCTGATAGAGGCTCTTACACACCCTGTACTCTACAAGCCTTGGTGGCACCAGGTGCAGTCACAGCTAGTCCCCCCACAGGAGGGACTCCCACTTCTCCCCCTCCTCTCCCTTACTCTACTTCCCCTCCCTCTCCTCCTCCCACCCCACTTCCCCTCCCTCTCCTCACTCCTGCCCCACTTCCCCTCCCTCTCATGTCCCCCACCTCACTCCCCTTCCTCTTGTCCCCTACCCCACTTCTCCTCCCTCTCTTGTCCCCTACCCCACTTCCGCTCCCTCTCCTCACCCCTATCCCACTTCTCTTCCCTCTCTTCACCCTTACCTCACTTCCCCTTTCCTCCTCTTCTATCTTCCCCGCCTTCTCTCTCTCTCCACTCCCACCAACTCCTTGGACTACTATCCTGTGGCCATTCCTAGGAGACCAGAGCTGGCTATTCACCCCTTGTCCTTGGGCCCTGACAGGTGAAGCAGCTGGTGCCCATCAGAGATCAATCCCTGCAAGAGGAGCTGGCTCGCCAGCATGCTAATGAGCGCCTGAGGCGCCAATTTGCTGCCCAGGCCAATGCCATTGGTCCCTGGATCCAGAACAAGATGGAGGTAGGTCACACCCTTCTCCGGCTGTCCATAGGCCTGGCAGCCAGTCCCTTAGTGACAGAGTGGTGCCTCCTGGCTGTGGATTCTGGTTGCCCCATTTATTCTGTTTTTATATGGGGCTGTATCTTTCCAGCCCTGGGGCTGTTGTGGACTCTGGGTGCCTGGCACACGTGGGAGCTTGGTGGGTGCCCAATGAAGGGGGCAAGGACATTCTCACTGATAGATATTTATTGTGTCATTAAAAATAACGATGAAGCCCTTTCTCAGTTTTTGGCCTTTAAACCCCCAACCTAAGGAGAACAGCAGACTCAGACGTGCTTCACGTTTTCAGAACATTCACGGAAGAGTGGTCTGTGAATGGTGTTGAGGTCTGGGTTCATTTCATCACCAAGAGCAGCCAGGAGACATTTCTCTATCTCTCTTTTGGTGATAAAATGTTAACTTTTTCCCAAAGGAAAGAATATCTAAAACTGTAAGAAATTCTCGTGCTGGAGGGTGTCACCATCTGCATGGTAGCTCTCCCCAGGCAGTTGGCTCCCCCCCCACCCCCCACCGAAGAACCAGGTTACTGGCCCAGGAAGTTTTGCTCCCAGTACAAGATGATGGTCAGGGCTCACGTCTTCCTGCCTTTGCTGTTCCATATAGATTCTGGGAGACCTTTTCCCATTCTCCAGGTAGATCAGAACCAGACTTTGTTCTATCCTGTGACCCTGTCCCTCTCCCACTGTGTCTGGGGACATCAAGTGACTTGGGCTGCTGCCTGATATGGTGTGGCATCTTGTGCAGTCATGACCGATGACTCTCACAGCACTACTTCCTAGCTCTGCTCACCTCTCCCTGTCTCGCCCACGTGCCTTCCCTAGGAGATTGCCCGGAGCTCCATCCAGATCACAGGGGCACTGGAAGACCAGATGAACCAGCTGAAGCAGTATGAGCACAATATCATCAACTACAAGAACAACATAGACAAGCTGGAAGGAGACCACCAGCTCATCCAAGAGGCCTTGGTCTTTGACAACAAGCACACCAACTACACAATGGAGGTAAGCACCAGGCAGTGGGCTACTCTTGCTGCTCTCAGTGGCTGGTGTGCTCTGGGTTCACTTCTGTGCTTTGTTCCTGCTGAATTCTCCAAGTGTGAACATCAGAGGGTGGTAAGCCTTTCTAATTGCTGTATGAAAAGACTCTGTGCACTACATCAAGTGTGAGTTCATAGTTAACAGCATTATTACTCAACACAATGAAGTCATTATGCCTCTTTGGGGAGAGTACCAGAAATTAGACTACTGCCACATCTACAATTTGGCCCAATTTGGTCTCCCTGGGAGCCAGCAGGTATAACTCAGGGCTCATCCTGCTTCTTGATAAATGGAAAGATAGCTTCAATGACAAATAGGCTATTCACTGTCAGTCTAATCCACAGAGCTCCAGTTGTCACTGATAGATATTTATTGTATCATTAAAAATAACGATGAAGCCCTTTCTCAGTTTTTGGCCTTTAAACCCCCAACCTAAGGAGAACAGCAAAGACTCGGACGTGCTTCACGTTTTCAGAACATTCACGGAAGAGTGGTCTGTGAATGGTGAAACCCTGATCTCACTTCTGAGTACTTCCCACTATAGACTAGGGTAGAATTTTTTCTAAAGTATAGGAATGTCAATTGGATTATTTGTTTTTTTTTGTTGTTTAACTTTTTTAGTTCTTTGTATACCCTAGAGATTAGAGCTCTATCTGATGTGTGAGGGGTAAAAAATTTGTTCCCAGGATGTAGGCTCCCTATTCACTTCACATATTATTTCTCTTGCTGAGAAAAAACTTTTTAGTTTGAATTCATCCCATATGTTGATTCTTGGTTTTAACTCTTGTGCTATAGGTGTCTTATTAAGGAATTTGGGGCCTGACCCCACGTGATGGAGATTAGGGCCAACTTTTTCTTCTATTAGACGCAGAGTCTCTGGTTTGATTCCTAGCTCCTTGATCCATTTTGAGTTAACTTTTGTGCATGGTGAGAGAAAGGGATTCAATTTCATTTTGTTGCCTATGGATTTCCAGTTTCCCCAGCACCATTTGTTGAAGATGCTATCCTTTCTCCATTGAATGCTTTTATCACCTTTGTCTAACATAAGGTAGTTGTAATTTTGTGGGTTGGTCTCTGTGTCCTCTATTCTGTACCATTGGTCTACCAGCCTGTTTTGGTGCCAGGACCATGCTGTTTTTGTTACTGTTGCTCTGTAGTATAGTTTAAAATCTGGTATAACGATACCACCTGTTTCACTCTTCCTGCTTAGAATTGCTTTAGCTATTCTGGGTCTCTTATTTTTCCAGATGAATTTCTTGATTGCTTTTTTTATTTCTGCAAGGAATGCCCTTGGGATTTTGATAGGAATCACATTGAATCTGTAAAGTGCTTTTGGTAATATGGCCATTTTAATAATATTAATTTTGCCTATCCATGAGCAAGGTATATCTTTCCATCTTCTAAGGTCGTCTTCTCTCTCTCTTTAGGGTTCTGTAGTTTTCATCGTATAGATCTTTCACCTCTTTTGTTAAGTTGATTCCCAAGTATTTTTTTTTTAAGGATATTGTGAATGGGGTAGTTTTCCTCATTTCCATTTCAGAGGATTTGTCACTGATATACAGGAATGCCTTTGATTTATGGGTATTGATTTTATATCCTGCCACTTTGCTGAATTCATTTACTAGTTCTAGAAGTTTCTTGGTAGAACCTTTTGGGTCTGCTAGGTATAGGATCATATCATCAGCAAAAAAAATAAAATAAAATAACCCAATCAACAAATGGGCCAAGGACCTGAGCAGACACTTCTCAGAAGAGGGTATACATTCAATCAACAAATACATGAAAAAATGCTCACTATCTTTAGCAATCAGAGAAATGCAAATTAAAACTACTCTAAGATACCATCTCACTCCAGTAAGAATGACCGCCATTATGAAGTCAAACAACAACAAGTGCTGGTGAGGATGCAGGGAAAAAGGTACACTCATACATTGCTGGTGAGACTGCAAATTGGTGCAGCCAATTTGGAAAGCAGTATGGAGATTCCTTGGAAAGCTGGGAATGGAACCACCATTTGACCCAGTTATTCCCCTTCTCGGACTATACCCAAAAGACCTAAAAACAGCATAGTACAGGGACATAGCCACATCAATGGTTATAGCAGCACAATTCACAATAGCTAGACTGTGGAACCAACCTAGATGCCCTTCAGTGGATGAATGGATAAAAAAAAAATGTGGCATTTATACACAATGGAATATTACTCAGCACTAAAAAATAACAAGATCATGGCATTTGCAGGGAAATGGATGGCATTAGAGCAGATTATGCTAAGTGAAGTTAGCCAATCCCTAAAAAACAAATGCCGAATGTCTTCTCTGATATAAGGGGGGTGACTCAAAATGGGGTAGGGAGGAAGAACATGAGAAGAAGATTACCACTAAATAGAGAAGAGAGATGGGAGGGAAAGGGAGGGAGAAGGGGAACTGCACAGAAGATGGAAGGAGACCCTCATCGTTATACAGAATACATGTATGATGATGTGAGGGGAAAAAAAAGTGTGTCACATTAGATTGGGTAGAGAGAAGTGATGGGAGCGGAGGGGAGGGGACGGGGGCATAGGAAGGGCAGCAGAATAAAATAGACACTTGTATTGCTGTATGTATATACGTGACTGCATGACCACTGTGATTCTGCAACCTGTACACTCAGAAAAATGAGAAGTTATACCCCATCTGATTCAAATGTATGATATGTCAAGATCATTGTACTGTCATGTGTAACTAATTAAAACAAATAAAAAAAATTTAAAATGTATAGGAATGTCTATAGCAGGCCCTCCTTTTGGGTCAGCTCTCCTGTTGTGAAAACGAAGAGGCAAGGTTGATATTGCTAGAAAAACTGAGAATTTATCATTGCCTTTTTCCCTTGGTAGCACATCCGTGTTGGATGGGAGCTGCTGCTGACCACCATTGCCAGAACCATCAACGAGGTGGAGACCCAGATCCTGACGAGGGATGCGAAGGGCATCACCCAGGAGCAGATGAATGAGTTCAGAGCCTCCTTCAACCACTTCGACAGGGTACTGCACTCTGCTTATTTGAAAGGCAGTTCTGTGGACACCAAACAATGAGTCTGAAATAATATGCATGCTATTACCTTAAGTCTTAACACCCCAAAAAGTTTACAGGGAAACTGGTTGAGTAATGCCACAGGAAAGTAGCCACCAAAAGAAGGTATGCACAGCTGACGTTGCTCCCGTGACCTGAAGTGCAGGCTGTGAACCATGTCTTGCAGCTGTCAATGAATGCATTTGTAGTGGATATCAGAGTCCCATTTGTTCTTACTGAAAGTATGTCCTTAACAAGGTGTGGTTGTTGTATTTTAGTCATTTTGTAAAGATTTGGTTGCAAAACTCTGATGTACTTTTCCTAGTAACTACGTAAAACATCTAATGATTGATTAACAAAATTGACTCACGATAAGAAAAATGGACCCACAAAATGGTGATAACATTCACAGTAAAGTATATGAAAAGTTACGTACTGCTTGTAAAATATTATCTAGTATCTTTATTTTAATAATATTGAGTAAAATTATGAGAAAATTCCCTTTACTAATTATGTAGTTAAACATAAGGCCACATTCCAATTGCTAAGGGTAGCTTAAAAAAGAACATCCTATTACTTTGTATTGGGCCCTATTGATGGTTTGCAAATTCCAGTAAATGATTTTTTAAATGTCTGCTGGCCAGGCCAGCCTAAGCTGGGCCTAGGAAGAGTACAGACACTGGATTTCTGATAAGGGAGCTGAAAGGCACAAGTAAAGAATTCTGTGCAGAGATGGAGGATGACGTTTGTTGGGCTTGAGCACCACTTTCTAGTTCAGAACCGTTCTTCAACTCTGATCTGATTTCAATCATTGAAGTCCAAGTCATTTTTCTCCATGGAGGGGAGAATTTTACCATCATCCCTGCTCAGATCTGCTGGGCTTGCTGAAGGACATTTCTTGCTCATTTGGGTTGCACATTGATTTAAATCCAAGGTAATAAGACAGTCTTTTACAACAAAAAGTCCAAAGGAGAGCCTTGTAGAATTTGCCAAGTTTAAAGGTTTGGCTGTGTTAACACTAAGGAGGTCATGTCTTAGAAATAAGGAAGCAGAGTTTGGAGTGTGGGAGAGCTGTCAGGGATACAGTGCATTTTGCTTCATCTTCTCAAGTAACAGTAATCTGGGAATGTTGAGGCACAGAGAATGTGCATGGAGGGATTCTTCCCTAGATGGAAGAGAGCCATTGAAGGTTGTAGAGCACAGGTGTGACCTGACCAGATCTGTGCTTCAGAGAAACTGCCTGACCGCACCTCTCAGATGTAAGACAGGCTGAAGTGAGGGTGGGAGAGAAAGCAAGCAGAGGGCAACAGGAGGGAAGGGAAACAGGAGCTCCTGGGTGGACAGATAGGAGGTAAAGATGAAGACAAGGGCAGGTCTGAGGAGGAAACAGATGTCTGACAGAACTTGATGGGATTTGGGCCTGAGGGAGGGGGAAAAGGTTAAACAACATGGAAATTTAGTCTGAGGACATGGAGAAAGGGGTGCTCCTGAGCCTTTGCAGCAGTGAGGTCCCCTGGGCAGGAGAAATCCAGTTCTAGGGTTCAGAACTGAAGGTTATGAGTCACCATGAAACAGTCATCTCTGTCAAGATATAGTTCAGGGAGGAAGAAAAGAGAAAGGCTGATCTTAGGGAAGTGTTGTGTTTCAAGGAGATGCAAGAGCCAGAGGAGGAGAGGCAGAGACATTGGTGGAGGACATGTCAGTGAGGAGGGCTGCAGGGCAGTCCTGAGCAGGTCGGGCAGTGGGGGGCCAGGCATGTAGGCCTAAGAACAGGCCTGTGACTTTCTGTTCTTGGAAGGAAGAGGACCTGACATTAGTTTTGGGGACTGACTGCTTCCTTGGTGGACAGAAGCACCAGAAAATACCCGATTGAATAAGTGGTTTGGCCAGTAAAGGTGATGTCTTTACTTGATGCTGATGCTTCATGTTAGCTGCCCCACCCCCAGAACCCTGAAACACATCTCCAGTGCAGCTGTGCGCTTCTCATCACATCCAGGGCTTTGCATTGACCCCCATTTCTGATGCACTGGGTTCACCCTTGTGACTGGCCTTCCTCAGCTGGGAAAACTATTGTCATGAGGGACAGTATTGCACACTGCTTCCTGCACACCCTCATTGAATTTTCAGAAGCCGAATTTGCAACATGGAATAGCTACTGCATCCTGGCCCAAGGGCCTATTGACTTTCCAGTTGTTTCAGTTCAGAAAAACGCTCTCATCTTGGGAAAATTTTACAACTGATGACTCACTAGGGCCATTGAGAGCATGTCTCAGAACATTTGCAGTGTTCTGTCATCAGTAGGGGGAAGCACTGAGCTCCCATCCAGTTCCTTTGCTACCTTCTTGACCCTGTGGTCTCATTTTTGTCTAGTTTTTATTGCCACTCAGCCCCCATTCCTTTTAAATAATTATTGATAACATCCTTGTATTGTCAGATCCATCTTTCCTTTAAGTCAGTGATGACCATTGTGATCTTGGCAGAGTTCAAAGTGGCCCTTCCCTTACTTGATTTTGCTCACTTGGCCGAGCAGAGCTGCTCATATCACTTCTAATTCCCACTTTACTGTTCCTTGCTTTTGCCAACAGAGGAAGAATGGCTTGATGGACCATGAGGACTTCAGAGCCTGCCTCATTTCCATGGGTTATGACTTGGTAAGACAGAAGTTGAAATTGTGCTAAGATCTGATTTTATTGAGTTTGAGTTTATATTATAGAAAATGACACACTTAAATGTAAGGTAGAACATTTAGGGTTGTTAATTTTCATTACACAGAAGAATATTTTTTAAGGTTTCCCTGTTGCTATGTAAAAATAATTTTACAGAGTCAAACACACACATTTTTTCCAGAAATTGGTCAGATTTTTTTTCCTAATGAAGAAATCAAGAGTCTGGGCTTCCTTTATGATTTTTAACAGGGTTATTGATATAATTTGCATCCTAGTTGAGCGTGGTGGCACACACCTGTAACTACAGCTGGCTGGGGGGCTAAGCAGAGGAGGATTGCAAGTTCCAGGACAGCCTCAGCAACTCAGACTGCATCTTTGAAAAAAAGATGTGGGGGGGCTGGGGATGTAGCTCAGTGTTAAAGTGCCCCTGGGTTCAGTCCTAAATATCAAAAAAAAAAATTTAAAGTATGAGTGTATTGGAGTTGTAATGGTTCCAATATACTCATACTTCTGTGTTGCCCATTAATACATATTTTAAACATGACTTGCTTTGCTTCCTTCCCAAAGTTTAAAATAAGATCACGAGCACCATCTCTGAACTGCCTTCCTGTTTAGCAACATCTCTTCTTTCTTGTAACCTGAAAAAAGAATCAATCTGCTCCAAGTTACTCTTTGACATTTGTATTATGACCAAGGAATGCAAATGGGTCACAGAGAGGAAGGGCATTGACATTCTAGCTTGGTGCTACAGCAACCTTTATGTATTTGATGACAATAAACCTCAGTCACCCTAAAGGGAATCCCTTCCAGAGACTGAAAGGAATTGCAGATTAAGGTTTCAAACACAAAGGAATTTATTACCTCTTTGCCCTTGGCCTCAGGGTGAAGCTGAATTTGCCCGAATTATGACCCTGGTTGATCCCAATGGACAAGGCACTGTCACCTTCCAGTCCTTCATTGACTTCATGACTAGAGAGACAGCTGACACAGACACTGCTGAGCAGGTCATTGCCTCCTTCAGAATTCTGGCTTCTGATAAGGTCTGTATTGATGGATTTCCTTTCACTTTAACATTCTAATACCAGTACCCCTGGTATATTAGCACTGAATGTGGAAAGCAGCACAGAGGTGACCTCAGAGGAAACACAGATCTTCCCTGCCTGTCATTTGTGCTCAGGCCTCATGCTAGTGTTATGGGAGCAGTAGTGTGCATTTGGTAGATGTATGTGTATGTTAAGGTTTATGGTTAATGGTTCAACCCCATTGTGCATTCTGGTTTAATAGGTGTGATTCAGAAAGAAGAAACTATTGTAGTTCAGGTATTACAGAACTGTTAAGCTCTTCCACTAAGGGCCAGGGACCCTGACTTCATGCCCATCCCCCAGAGAAAAGTTGCAAGACTTTTGGGCAAGACTCTCATGACACATGCCTAAAACTAAGCAAGAATTTAACTGAAAGTTCAGAGCTTTTGAATACCACCCCTCAAACAATAAAAATTTCTTAGGATACATAAATTCAGTCTGGGATAGGATTATTTTACTCTCTGATCTGGTTGAGAGGGGAAAAAGAGTCCTACAAGAAAGTTAGGATATTAAAACACATCAGTACAGCCATGTTTATTACCATAAAAATCAGACAGGATCAGCTATCTCAAAAATAAGAAGTTTGTTTAAAGCATGCGGAGGGAGAGTGCAAAGGATTTAGGAAGTAGTAAACCATGTGTGACCAACCCCCAGGGAAGCTCCTGTTATGAGGGCTGGGGATGTGGCTCAAGGGTAGCGCGCTCACATGGCTTGCGCGGGGCACTGGGTTCGATCCTCAGCACCATATAAAAATAAAATAAAGATATTGTGTCCACCGAAAACTAAAAAATAAAAGTTAAAAAAAAATAAGTCATACTGTGATATTATCTTACTTGTCAGTCGTCTTTACCAGAATTTGTCCTATTTCTCCATGGATATTTGACATTTTAAAAAGGAGCCCCATCATTAAATGTGTCAATATCATATTGTGGAGATGTTTTCTCCAGTGGCAATATATTTTCAGTTTTTAAGTAAAAATATACTGAGTGGGAAAATGACTCCATTTTCTAAAAGCACATATATATACATTTTTGTTTTTAATACCAATTCCACCATGTGAAATAGCCCTGCATTCTCATCAGTGTATGATGTAACCCAACTATACCTTTACCTATTAAGAAATTTAGATGACAAATGTAAGAAATGTTGTATTGAAAGTAGTGAAACTGCTTATGTTCCAGTGTTTCTTTGACTGGCTTTGCAAACACTTGTGTGTGTTTTCCAGCCGTACATCCTGGCGGAGGAGCTTCGTCGAGAGCTGCCCCCAGATCAGGCCCAGTACTGCATCAAGAGGATGCCTCCCTACTCTGGCCCTGGCAGCGTGCCTGGTGCGCTGGATTACACTGCGTTCTCTTCTGCACTTTATGGGGAGAGTGATCTGTGATGCCTGGGTTTTGTAATCATTGATCCCATCAGAACACAATAAAAGCTTAAGTCATAGTTTGTTTCCTGGAAACTTTGACAAACTTTATAAGTTAAGAGAATATACAAGCATCTCGGTCTTTGCCAGGATGGTAACATGGCTGAAATGGAGTTTCGATAGTGTATGACAGTGTGCTTTGTAAGTAGGTCTCTTTATTTCTGAATCCTTAGCTAAATGTAATAAAGTATCAAATTAGTTTGTTTCTTTGATTAAGTAAAGCAAATTACTTGAGTACTTTGAAATTAGCAAGATCTAGGGATAGAAGAAAAGTGAAGAAATGAAAATCCCAAATATCTAAGTTGATGGGGAGGGGGAATCTCAAATTGGTAAATGTTTGATAATTATTATTTTTTTGTTACTGGGGATTGAACCAATGGGCACCATTGAGCCACATCCCCAACCCTGTTTTGTATTTTATTTAGAGACATGGTGTCACTAAATTGCTTTCGGCCTTGCTAAGTTGCTAAGGCTGGCTTTGAACTCATGATCCTCCTGCCTTAGCCTTCCTAGCTGCTGGGATTATAGGTGTGCACCACTGTGCCTGGCTGTTTGATATTTTTTTAAAGAATTCTTCATATCTAATTTGCATATGTGATTCTCCCTAGGAGACTATATTTGGGCTCTTAGTGTTTTATTTTCTCACTTACCCAAAGATTAGCTCTACATAAGTATAAGTGATACTGTCATCTCTTCAGTGGAATTAAATGTTAGGAGATGACGAGCCAGGGAAAGACACAGACTAGTCGGGAGATCTTCAGTAATAAAGTTCTGAAGCTCTTCACTCTTCAGGAATAGAGAGCCTGATTGATGGGTTCTGATGCATACTTGTTCCCCAGAGAAGGGCCTGAGAAAATGAGGAGCTCAGTTCGGCCAGAGACGGAGGTGGAGCCATTAGGTAGAATGAGGCTTTTAGAACTCTGTTGCTTCCAGATTCCCATGCCTTTTCCAGAGCTTGCTCCTAGAGGTTCTCCAGAGGCAGCCTTAGGTAAGCTCTCTTGCTTGTCAACAAGAGACACCCGGGGTGCCTTCTGGTCCCCAGCAGGCCTGCCTTAGGCCACTCCTTGGCCCCTTAGTGGAGCCAGACTTGGCAGGAGGCCGTTTCTCTCTCTGCAGAACCTCTCCTTAGCTCTCAGGTGGCCTCCTGAGGTTTGCCCGTCTGCCGGCTGTCCAGTACCAGTGTGGACAGGGCCTCCCAGCAAGCCCTGAGTGTGGCTTTGTCTGTGGCCTTGTCTCTGTCAGGCTTCTGTGGCTCAGGATGCCACCTGCAGTCTACGTCCTTCCTCATGTTGGTGCACTTTTCTGCTTGAGCTGCAGTGTGCTGTGACCCGCTGTGGTAACAGCTCGTGGAGAGTAAGGCAGGGATTCTTGTTATATCTGGATCTTTAATAATCATGAAATGAGTTATAGACAAATAAAAACATTGCAAACAGCAGCTAAAGTGTCCTGGAGCTGGAGGGTGCCCATCAGCAAGTCTGTTTCCTCTGATTTTCAGCTTTCTACCCTCGACTGGAAATGGGAAAATGTGATCCTTTCTTTTCACAACCGTCGGGTAACCGGGTACTTTCATCACACTGGCCCATTTAGAACCTTAGACTTTTATGCATTTCATTGATTTGTTTCATTATTAAGTAGGTGGTGGTTTCCAAATTCCTGGATTATTTGATCCTTTGGTTTATGTGTGTGCTTTTGGGGTGGCATGCAGGTCAGCTTTGGACTCTGGTTCATCTCAAGCAGGTGCTATATCTCATCCATAAACATCAGGGAGAAACTAGGAGTCACTCTCCTTTAGGCTGCCACCAGGGAGACTTGTATGTATTTTAAGGAAGGTGTGAGTTACTCATCCTGAATTTCTAACTTCTTCACAACATTCAGCAACGAAAATGGATCAACATATTATCTGCCAATAAGTAAAGAAAGGAAATAAACTGAAAAACAATAAACATGTCTATATTCTCATTTTCGAAGTCATTTTTATTTCTGATGCTGAGTTATTAATTAAACTAAATTTGTAAATGAAAAAAGAATCTCTTTTTATTATTTCAAAGAATAACCAGGTGTCTTGGTTAATGCAAACAAACTTCCTCGCTTAAAATTTCCTTCATATTTAAAAACTCATTTGATGTACGATTTACCTCCCTTAAGGAATTAGAAGCTGGGTGCAGTGGCACAAACCTACAATCCCAGCCTATGCAGGAGGATCACAAGTTCAAGACCAGCCTCAGCAACTTAGGCACTGTTTCCAAAGGGCTGGGAATGTGGCTCAGTGGGAAAGCCCCCTGATCAAATCCTTAGCATCCCCCCACAAAAGGATGAAGTATGACCCATTCACAAGAAATAAAGAATTTGACAGAAACCATTCTTGAAGAAGTCTGGACATTGAAATTATTGATTAATAATGTTAAGTCAACTATCACAAATATAATGAGCTAAAGGAAAATGATGTTATCATGAAATGAGAAGTTATCTCCTCAGCTTACTATGGGGCGATGGTCTAACAAACCCATCCTGGGATTAAGACATCAAAGGTTGACAGTGTACTTAATATTCCTAACCTACCCAACATCATGGCTCCACCTACCTTAAAGGCTCAGAATACATTAGCCTGGTGTGGGGCAAAATCATCTCACACAAACCCTGTTTTATGATGGGATGTTTGATATCACAGGTACATGGGTGTTTTGTGGATAGATTGGAATGTGAAAACAAAAAGTACTGTGGATGGAAAACTGACTGCTTCTTCCAAGGCAACACAGATTCAGGTCAACAAGGCAAGTTCCTCAAGGACATGGTTCCCAGTGACTTGGTTCTTTCCTTAAATGTTTACGTGAGCCTTTTATAGTCCCAGGAAAGTAGGCAGGATCATCAGGCAGGCGAGCTACACAAAAGTGGGGAAATCTTAACAGGGGATCCAGGTATTTTTGATAAATCAGGTACATTTCTTGCAGGATTCAGGCTCTGCCTCATTCTGAGCTGTAAGACTTAATACAGGCCAAAGTCTGTGGAGCCTATGATACATTTTAAACTTTATCCAGTCGTTATAAAAACATGAAAGCAGATGCAGAAGCTGGTGATAAATGGCTGTCAAAGGGGCCTAAAATCATCTAATACAATTGAGCTGCTGCTTTTTCTTTTTTGGTGGGGGGCAGGGTACTAGAGATTGAACCCAGAGGCATTTTACCACTGAGTTTCATTCCCAACCCTTTTTATTTTTTATTCTGAGACAGGAGCTGACTAAGTTGCTTAGAGCCTCACCAAGTTGCCAAAGCTGACTTTGAACTTTCCATCCTCCTGCCTCGGCCTCCCCAATCACTGGGGTTTACAGGCTTGGGCCATCACATCTGGCTCATATAGTTAGGCTCCTTAAATTATAACACTTCATCTGCCCACAAGCTCACAATGTAGTGGTACCCCCTCTTCCACAGAGAATCTTAACTAAGCTTCTCCATAGTTAATTTTAGGACTATCAGCAAAAGAGTCTCTACAAAAGAGTTCAGTGTAGGTAAACTTCCTGTTATCCTGTTGCTCTATTACTTGGCCACTGGCCTGGAAGAAATCAGCACTCCAGGTGCTGAACTCAGCCCCTTTAGTGGTTTTTCACAAACATTTATCCAGTATAGTAGTTTGTAGAAGTCTGTTTGCAAGTGCAAAATGTGATTTAAAAAAAAAAAAAAGATTATTTAACAAGGCCTCTGGCCTTCAGCTGGGCTTCACAGAGATGTCTACATTTCTAAGATAAAGAGAAGTTACCAATTGGGCTCCATGGTAACAGCTGGCAGGGGAGGAAAGAAAGGGGAGAAGAAGCAGCTCTCCCCTTCTCAGGTGCTGTCCTTGAAGAGTTAACTTGCCCAGAACAGTGAAAGAAAAAGCTGCTTTTATGTGAGTGTTTGAACCCCTCTCCTTACATGCTGGGTATAAAGTTATGAAACTACCTGAACTCGGGGTTCAGAGGATTAATTGATTACAGCGAAAGCTGTACCCTCTGAACCCGGCTGCAGCCAAATAAAAACTGTTACCTGCTGTCTTCCGTGCCCTGCCTCATCTGTCACGTCCAACAACAATGCTCCCTCCAGTGAAATTTAAACAAGCTGGAGGTTCTTAAACACAAAAATGGTCTCTTTAGAGAAACTGCAGTCTGCAAGGCAAGAGGCCACCTGTGGCACCAAAGTCTCTGACTCATGAAGTGCAGGGAGGCCTTGTGCTGACCTGCAGGTTGCTGTTGGGGGTATTCCATATATAAGCCAATGAGGCATATCTCCTATTGAAAAAGTAGCGTAAAGTTGCAGGGTTTCGTCCATGGAGAACATTCCTGAAAAGGATTTGCTTAAATATAAGGGTCAGCAACATGTTATCAATTTACTCTGTAAACTGAAGCCGATGAGTCTGAGCAACAACTGCAGTGAGAGGCCCCTGGGTGTGCCTGATTTTCTGAGGAAGATCTTCCAACTGTTTCTCCCAGGAGGCTCCTGAGTGTTGAAACCACCTCCCTAGTTTCAGCCTCAGCTGTAATAGTGTTAGAAGTGTGACCTGGGGCCATTGTTGAACTTCCTTTGGCCGACTTATCTATAAAACAAGGATAACAGCAATTAGCTGACAGTGATCCTCCTTCCTGCTAACTAACCTCTGTAATAACACAAACAACAATATTTGAATGTTGTCTGACTCACCCACTCTGTGGGAGACAAGCAATAGACTTTGTTTTCCCCCATGTTAGCCTCTGTGCACTATTATGGCACATTTTAATGGATCCAATAAATGTTTGTTAAACGAATACATCCATAACCAGAATAATTCATAGAATTACAAGAAATAGATGTTTTGTTACTGGGGATTAAACCCAGGGATGCTTTACCACTGAGACACATCCTCAGCCTTTTTAATTTTATTTAATTTTTTAAATTTTGAGACAGGGTCTTGCTAAGTTGCTTAGGGCCTCACTAACTTGCTGATTCTTGCCTTGAACTTGTGATCCTCCTGCTACAGCCTCCTGAGCTGCTGGAATTACAGGCGTGCACCACTGCACCTGGCTAAACAAT